TGACTCCGTTGAGGCATAATTTCTGCTATTTCCAAAGCCTTTTTGGTGTCAGGATGAGTGGACAACACTGACGTGAAGCACAACGCCTACAGAACAATTGTAGCGATCTCATAAGGTGCTGAAGTATCTTGTTCTGACTGTGACAGACCAAGGTGGATTTTAAGTTGGGTTGAGGAGTGACAATAATGTCAAGAATGTAAAGAGACACAGTTGTTGACAGAATGTTGCTAAATAGCTTCTCTTCAGTATAATACTATCTGGTAGTGGTCTGGCCTTCAGTAGTAGTAGTTAGTTAGTTAGTTAGTTAGTTAGTTAGTTAGTAGTAGTAGAAGTAGTAGTACCACGCCCCAGCCAGTATCCTACTATCTGGTAGTAGTACCCAGCCAGTATCTCCAGTCGGTCATAGTGTTGGGTGCTGTCCTGCCTCCAGCCAGTCATAGTGTTGGGTTCTGTCCTGCCTCCAGCCAGTCATAGTGTTGGGTGCTGTCCTGCCTCCAGCCAGTCATAGTGTTGGGTGCTGTCCTGCCTCCAGCCAGTCATAGTGTTGGGTTCTGTCCTGCCTCCAGCCGGTCATAGTGTTGGGTGCTGTCTGTGTCCAGCCTCCAGCCAGTCATAGTGTTGGGTGCTGTCCGTGTCCAACCTCCAGCCAGTCATAGTGTTGGGTGCTGTCCTGCCTCCAGCCAGTCATAGTGTTGGGTGCTGTCCTGCCTCCAGCCAGTCATAGTGTTGGGTGCTGTCCTGCCTCCAGCCAGTCATAGTGTTGGGTGCTGTCCTGCCTCCAGCCAGTCATAGTGTTGGGTTCTGTCCTGCCTCCAGCCGGTCATAGTGTTGGGTGCTGTCCGTGTCCAGCCTCCAGCCAGTAATAGTGTTGGGTGTTATCCAGCCTCCAGCCAGTCATAGTGTTGGGTGCTGTCCGTGTCCAGCCTCCAGCCAGTCATAGTGTTGGGTGCTGTCCGTGTCCAACCTCCAGCCAGTCATAGTGTTGGGTGCTGTCCATGTCCAACCTCCAGCCAGTCATAGTGTTGGGTGCTGTCCTGCCTCCAGCCAGTCATAGTGTTGGGTGCTGTCCATGTCCAGCCTCCAGCCAGTCATAGTGTTGGGTGCTGTCCGTGTCCAACCTCCAGCCAGTCATAGTGTTGGGTGCTGTAAAGCCTCCAGCCAGTAATAGTGTTGGGTGCTGTCCATGTCCAGCCTCCAGCCAGTCATAGTGTTGGGTGCTGTCCGTGTCCAGCCTCCAGCCAGTCATAGTGTTGGGTGCTGTCCGTGTCCAGCCTCCAGCCAGTCATAGTGTTGGGTGCTGTCCGTGTCCAGCCTCCAGCCAGTCATAGTGTTGGGTGCTGTCCGTGTCCAGCCTCCAGCCAGTCATAGTGTTGGGTGCTGTCCATGTCCAGCCTCAGCCAGTCATAGTGTTGGGTGCTGTCCGTGTCCAGCCTCCAGGAGGGGCGGAGAGGAGAGACATGGGCCCAGCTGTGGATCTGTAGTTCTGGGTAACAGAGCACACACACAGGAGCACAGATGGCATGTCATCCTCACTGTGTGCAGCAGGCCCCTGTCCAACGGTGTGCATTACAAGGCAATTACAAATGAACATTAAAATCATCATAGAACACTGTTTGTGCAGTACAGAAAGCCATGTAGGCTACAATATGTGATGTGTTGGGTTCTCCTAATTATTATACACAGTGCCTTCAGAAAGGATTCACACCCCTTGACCTTTTCCACATTTTCTTGTTACAGTCTGAATTTAAAATGGATTAAATTTAGATTTTTTTGGTCACTGGCCTACAAACAATACCACATAATGTAAAAAATGTTTTTAATTTTTTTAAACTAATTAATTAGAAATGAAAATCTGAAATGTAGCGTCCTTTTTATGTAAGGTCCCTGGTTGAAGTTTGATTGAACAGTATACAACAATCAGAATGGAGAAAGCCTCATTTAAAACCACTTAGAATGTATGTGTTGCTACCCTGGGGTCATGCAGAACTGATTGAGCAAATGTAGAACTTTTTATTTGACAAAAACATAAAAAAATCTCAATGTGAAAAATATTGTGATATGATATTTTGCCCATATCACCCAGCCCTAATTTTAGGATCAATTGAAGGATCTGGTGATCTTAATACGTCCTGAGATCTAAAGACGTTTGATAGCTAAGTACCTTCAGTCACCAGTCCAACTCTAGCCCTGTAAACACGTTCTGGAGTCACTCCAGTCCAACTCTAGCCCTGTAAACACATGTTCTGGAGTCACTCCAGTCCAACTCTAGCCCTGTAAACACGTTCTCGAGTCTCTCCAGTCCAACTCTAGCCCTGTAAACACATGTTCTGGAGTCACTCCAGTCCAACTCTAGCCCTGTAAACACGTTCTCGAGTCACTCCAGTCCAACTCTAGCCCTGTAAACACGTTCTGGAGTCACTCCAGTCCAACTCTAGCCCTGTAAACATGTTCTCGAGTCACTCCAGTCCAACTCTAGCCCTGTAAACACGTTCTGGAGTCACTCCAGTCCAACTCTAGTCCTGTAAACACATGTTCTGGAGTCACTCCAGTCCAACTCTAGTCCTGTAAACACGTTCTCGAGTCTCTCCAGTCCAACTCTAGTCCTGTAAACACATGTTCTCGAGTCACTCCAGTCCAACTCTAGTCCTGTAAACATGTTCTGGAGTCACTCCGGTCCAACTCTAGCCCTGTAAACACATGTTCTGGAGTCACTCCAGTCCAACTCTAGCCCTGTAAACACATGTTCTCGAGTCACTCCGGTCCAACTCTAGCCCTGTAAACACGTTCTGGAGTCACTCCAGTCCAAACCCAGGATAGAAACAGTAAGGGTGTCTCCCAAATGGCACCCTATTCCCTACATAGTGCACTACTATGGGCCCTGGTCAAAGTAGTGCACTATATAGGGAATATGGTGCCATTTGGTATACAGCCTAAAACCACTAGAGACAAGCTGCTTATGGGTTTATTTCTGTTCTATGAAAACAAGGCTGGATTTGTAACCAAATCAACATTAAATAACCTTCTCTGTTCTCTGAGTGAGTGGGTAGTGTATTGTTTTGTTGTGGGTTGGCAGAGCCTGGTTTGGCAACCGATTTTAGTAATCCTATTCCCAGCTCAGTCTCCACGGAAACACAGCCAAGAGAGAAGGAGAAGATGCTATCGTACACACAAGCTACAGGAAAGCAACAAATCCTTAGTTAGGACAAGAATTTAAGACGGTGAACAGTGATCCCTTCTGTACGACTTTAACCTTCTCTTGTAACGGGCTACACAACAGAGTCATAACAATGACCTCACAGCTGTTCCCTGTTCAGTGTTTTTTTTTTTTTTTACTATACAGTTACTAAATAACTGTAAGTCGCTCTGGATAAGAGCGTCTGCTAAATGACTGAAATGTAAATGTCCCATTACCACCGTACGCTATGTATTCAGAACATCTGCAGTACCTCCCTGAGGTATTGGCTGTGGAATCCCAGAGGCTCTCCATTACCATGCCTATGGGTAAGAGCCCCCTAGCCTGAACCCCTAGATATCCCAGGAGGAAGGACTGTGTTATAAATAGTTATCTGGGAGGGAAAGGCCATGACCAGCTATGTCATGACAGTCCAGACCATCCATACTACCAACCTCTAGGTACTCCACACAGTCCACAGAGGCCTGTCGTCTTGGTCTGGCCGTCCATAGATGTTTGGTCGTTTGCCCTCTTGCACCTCATAGCCCCCCCCCCCATAGCCCAGATAACCACGACGGTTTGTAAGGGGGAGCCCATGGTGATCAGAGAGTGGTTGAGAGGGCTTTCTGTTTGACAGATAGGCAATTAGATGTTTCCTTCCGTTTGTTACTTGCTCATGCTAGTGCTAGTCTGTTACTCTATTCGTGCACCTAGTTGATGGGTTAGACTGTGAGGTAGCAGCAGCGGGACTGATTTTGAATTGTGAGGATGACCATTTTACATTTTAGTCATTTAGCAGACGCTCTTATCCAGAGCGACTTACAGTTAGTGAACACATTTATTTTTATTTTTATACTGGCCCCCCGTGGGAATCGAACCCACAACCCTGGCGTTGCAAACGCCATGCTCTATCAACTGAGCTACATCCCTACCGGCCATTCCCTCCCCTACCCTGGACGACGCTGGGCCAATTGTGCGCCGCCCCATGGGTCTCACGGTCGCGGCCGGCTGCGACAGAGCCTGGATTCGAACCAGGATCTCTAGTGGCACAGTTTGCACTGCGATGCAGTGCCTTAGACCACTGCTTCACTCAGGAGCGCAGTGACCACACCATTTATTTTAGTCATGAGCCAAATCTATTGGTTTTCTACCCCAAAGTTGCGAATAAAATGTGAGCCCAGCAAAATGGATAAAAGCAGGAACGGCATCATCTAGTGGTCAAAACATGGTACTTTCACATAACTTTATGATAAATAATGCAAGTGACATCAATTACTAATTTCTTTGAACAGAAAAAAAAATCAAAGATTCACAGGCAATACATTACATAGTATGGTGAAGCAATACTGCCGCAGCATCATACCACTTGTCAAACATAGAGAACTGATACTTTATGCTGGTTGTTGGGGTGGGATTGGCATGGGGGGGGTCCGTGTGTGGCTTTTAATTTTTTGCAGGGGATTCCTCATGTCTTACTCATTGGTGGGAAAAAGTTTAGTCCAAATTGGATGTTGAGTACCATATTTATTGAATATTATCTGAATCCTCTCAATTTAAAATAGCCAATTTGGGTTCAATCAATTAGCTTACTTTCTCAGAGAACATTTTATTTCAACAAAATAATGTTTCAGGAATGCCAATCTTACCTGTTTCTAACCACAGAAACAATTTCAGAACAATCTGAGATGGTGGGTGTCACGGCTTGCAGAAATGACATGGGACGACTCATAGTTGACTCATCTAAATCCTCCCTCCCCCTATCTCTCTGTCTCTCTCTCTCTCTCTTCTCCTCCTCCTCCTCTTTCTCTCTGTTCCAGTGTGATTCGCCATGACGACTGAATCAGGAGCAGACTCCGAGCCCAAGCATCAGCAGCAGGAGAAAGGAGGGAAGGACAAAGCGAAGGCAGCAGAACACTTCCCAGCCGCGGCTGGACACAGCACACCTGCCAGGAATAACCAGGTGAGGCACCGTAGCTACTGCTTTTTTCATTCACTGACAGTACGGTATAGTAGGGGGTCACAGTGCTGAGCAGGTCGTATTCATTCACTGACAGTACGGTATAGTAGGGGGTCACAGTGCTGAGCAGGTCGTATTCATTCACTGACAGTACGGTATAGTAGGGGGTCACAGTGCTGAGCAGGTCGTATTCATTCACTGACAGTACGGTATAGTAGGGGGGTCACAGTGCTGAGCAGGTCGTATTCATTCACTGACAGTACGGTATAGTAGGGGGGTCACAGTGCTGAGCAGGTCGTATTCATTCACTGACAGTACGGTATAGTAGGGGGGTCACAGTGCTGAGCAGGTCGTATTCATTCACTGACAGTATGGTATAGCAGGGGGGTCACAGTGCTGAGCAGGTCGTATTCATTCACTGACAGTACGGTATAGTAGGGGGTCACAGTGCTGAGCAGGTCGTATTCATTCACTGACAGTACGGTATAGTAGGGGGGTCACAGTGCTGAGCAGGTCGTATTCATTCACTGACAGTACGGTATAGTAGGGGGGTCACAGTGCTGAGCAGGTCGTATTCATTCACTGACAGTACGGTATAGTAGGGGGGTCACAGTGCTGAGCAGGTCGTATTCATTCACTGACAGTACGGTATAGTAGGGGGGTCACAGTGCTGAGCAGGTCGTATTCATTCACTGACAGTACGGTATAGTAGGGGGGTCACAGTGCTGAGCAGGTCGTATTCATTCACTGACAGTACGGTATAGTAGGGGGGTCACAGTGCTGAGCAGGTCGTATTCATTCACTGACAGTACGGTATAGTAGGGGGGTCACAGTGCTGAGCAGGTCGTATTCATTCACTGACAGTACGGTATAGTAGGGGGGTCACAGTGCTGAGCAGGTCGTATTCATTCACTGACAGTACGGTATAGTAGGGGGGTCACAGTGCTGAGCAGGTCGTATTCATTCACTGATAGTAGGGGGGTCACAGTGCTGAGCAGGTCGTATTCATTCACTGACAGTACGGTATAGTAGGGGGGTCACAGTGCTGAGCAGGTCGTATTCATTCACTGACAGTACGGTATAGTAGGGGGTCACAGTGCTGAGCAGGTCGTATTCATTCACTGACAGTACGGTATAGTAGGGAGGTCACAGTGCTGAGCAGGTCGTATTCATTCACTGACAGTACGGTATAGTAGGGGGTCACAGTGCTGAGCAGGTCGTATTCATTCACTGACAGTACGGTATAGTAGGGGGTCACAGTGCTGAGCAGGTCGTATTCATTCACTGACAGTACGGTATAGTAGGGGGGTCACAGTGCTGAGCAGGTCGTATTCATTCACTGACAGTACGGTATAGTAGGGGGGTCACAGTGCTGAGCAGGTCGTATTCATTCACTGACAGTACGGTATAGTAGGGGGGTCACAGTGCTGAGCAGGTCGTATTCATTCACTGACAGTACGGTATAGTAGGGGGGGTCACAGTGCTGAGCAGGTCGTATTCATTCACTGACAGTACGGTATAGTAGGGGGTCACAGTGCTGAGCAGGTCGTATTCATTCACTGACAGTACGGTATAGTAGGGGGGTCACAGTGCTGAGCAGGTCGTATTCATTCACTGACAGTACGGTATAGTAGGGGGGTCACAGTGCTGAGCAGGTCGTATTCATTCACTGACAGTACGGTATAGTAGGGGGGTCACAGTGCTGAGCAGGTCGTATTCATTCACTGACAGTACGGTATAGTAGGGGGGTCACAGTGCTGAGCAGGTCGTATTCATTCACTGACAGTACGGTATAGTAGGGGGGTCACAGTGCTGAGCAGGTCGTATTCATTCACTGACAGTACGGTATAGTAGGGGGGTCACAGTGCTGAGCAGGTCGTATTCATTCACTGACAGTACGGTATAGTAGGGGGGTCACAGTGCTGAGCAGGTCGTATTCATTCACTGACAGTACGGTATAGTAGGGGGGTCACAGTGCTGAGCAGGTCGTATTCATTCACTGACAGTACGGTATAGTAGGGGGGGGTCACAGTGCTGAGCAGGTCGTATTCATTCACTGACAGTACGGTATAGTAGGGGGTCACAGTGCTGAGCAGGTCGTATTCATTCACTGACAGTACGGTATAGTAGGGGGTCACAGTGCTGAGCAGGTCGTATTCATTCACTGACAGTACGGTATAGTAGGGGGGTCACAGTGCTGAGCAGGTCGTATTCATTCACTGACAGTACGGTATAGTAGGGGGTCACAGTGCTGAGCAGGTCGTATTCATTCACTGACAGTACGGTATAGTAGGGGGGTCACAGTGCTGAGCAGGTCGTATTCATTCACTGACAGTACGGTATAGTAGGGGGGGTCACAGTGCTGAGCAGGTCGTATTCATTCACTGACAGTATGGTATAGCAGGGGGGTCACAGTGCTGAGCAGGTCGTATTCATTCACTGACAGTACGGTATAGTAGGGGGGTCACAGTGCTGAGCAGGTCGTATTCATTCACTGACAGTACGGTATAGTAGGGGGGGTCACAGTGCTGAGCAGGTCGTATTCATTCACTGACAGTACGGTATAGTAGGGGGGTCACAGTGCTGAGCAGGTCGTATTCATTCACTGACAGTACGGTATAGTAGGGGGGTCACAGTGCTGAGCAGGTCGTATTCATTCACTGACAGTACGGTATAGTAGGGGGGTCACAGTGCTGAGCAGGTCGTATTCATTCACTGACAGTACGGTATAGTAGGGGGGTCACAGTGCTGAGCAGGTCGTATTCATTCACTGACAGTACGGTATAGTAGGGGGGTCACAGTGCTGAGCAGGTCGTATTCATTCACTGACAGTACGGTATAGTAGGGGGGTCACAGTGCTGAGCAGGTCGTATTCATTCACTGACAGTACGGTATAGTAGGGGGGTCACAGTGCTGAGCAGGTCGTATTCATTCACTGACAGTACGGTATAGTAGGGGGGTCACAGTGCTGAGCAGGTCGTATTCATTCACTGACAGTACGGTATAGTAGGGGGTCACAGTGCTGAGCAGGTCGTATTCATTCACTGACAGTACGGTATAGTAGGGGGGTCACAGTGCTGAGCAGGTCGTATTCATTCACTGACAGTACGGTATAGTAGGGGGGTCACAGTGCTGAGCAGGTCGTATTCATTCACTGACAGTACGGTATAGTAGGGGGGTCACAGTGCTGAGCAGGTCGTATTCATTCACTGACAGTACGGTATAGTAGGGGGGTCACAGTGCTGAGCAGGTCGTATTCATTCACTGACAGTACGGTATAGTAGGGGGGTCACAGTGCTGAGCAGGTCGTATTCATTCACTGACAGTACGGTATAGTAGGGGGGTCACAGTGCTGAGCAGGTCGTATTCATTCACTGACAGTACGGTATAGTAGGGGGGTCACAGTGCTGAGCAGGTCGTATTCATTCACTGATAGTAGGGGGTCACAGTGCTGAGCAGGTCGTATTCATTCACTGACAGTACGGTATAGTAGGGGGGTCACAGTGCTGAGCAGGTCGTATTCATTCACTGACAGTACGGTATAGTATGGGGTCACAGTGCTGAGCAGGTCGTATTAATTCACTGACAGTACGGTATAGTAGGGAGGTCACAGTGCTGAGCAGGTCGTATTCATTCACTGACAGTACGGTATAGTAGGGGGTCACAGTGCTGAGCAGGTCGTATTCATTCACTGACAGTACGGTATAGTAGGGGGTCACAGTGCTGAGCAGGTCGTATTCATTCACTGACAGTACGGTATAGTAGGGGGGTCACAGTGCTGAGCAGGTCGTATTCATTCACTGACAGTACGGTATAGTAGGGGGGTCACAGTGCTGAGCAGGTCATATTCATTCACTGACAGTACGGTATAGTAGGGGGTCACAGTGCTGAGCAGGTCGTATTCATTCACTGACAGTACGGTATAGTAGGGGGTCACAGTGCTGAGCAGGTCGTATTCATTCACTGACAGTACGGTATAGTAGGGGGGTCACAGTGCTGAGCAGGTCGTATTCATTCACTGACAGTACGGTATAGTAGGGGGGGTCACAGTGCTGAGCAGGTCGTATTCATTCACTGACAGTACGGTATAGTAGGGGGGGGTCACAGTGCTGAGCAGGTCGTATTCATTCACTGACAGTACGGTATAGTAGGGGGGTCACAGTGCTGAGCAGGTCGTATTCATTCACTGACAGTACGGTATAGTAGGGGGGTCACAGTGCTGAGCAGGTCGTATTCATTCACTGACAGTACGGTATAGTAGGGGGGTCACAGTGCTGAGCAGGTCGTATTCATTCACTGACAGTACGGTATAGTAGGGGGGGTCACAGTGCTGAGCAGGTCGTATTCATTCACTGACAGTACGGTATAGTAGGGGGGTCACAGTGCTGAGCAGGTCGTATTCATTCACTGACAGTACGGTATAGTAGGGGGGGTCACAGTGCTGAGCAGGTCGTATTCATTCACTGACAGTACGGTATAGTAGGGGGGTCACAGTGCTGAGCAGGTCGTATTCATTCACTGACAGTACGGTATAGTAGGGGGTCACAGTGCTGAGCAGGTCGTATTCATTCACTGACAGTACGGTATAGTAGGGGGTCACAGTGCTGAGCAGGTCGTATTCATTCACTGACAGTACGGTATCGTAGGGGGGTCACAGTGCTGAGCAGGGTCGTATTCATTCACTGACAGTACGGTATAGTAGGGGGGTCACAGTGCTGAGCAGGTCGTATTCATTCACTGACAGTACGGTATAGTAGGGGGGTCACAGTGCTGAGCAGGTCGTATTCATTCACTGACAGTACGGTATAGTAGGGGGGTCACAGTGCTGAGCAGGTCGTATTCATTCACTGACAGTACGGTATAGTAGGGGGTCACAGTGCTGAGCAGGTCGTATTCATTCACTGACAGTACGGTATAGTAGGGGGGGTCACAGTGCTGAGCAGGTCGTATTCATTCACTGACAGTACGGTATAGTAGGGGGGTCACAGTGCTGAGCAGGTCGTATTCATTCACTGACAGTACGGTATAGTAGGGGGGTCACAGTGCTGAGCAGGTCGTATTCATTCACTGACAGTACGGTATAGTAGGGGGGTCACAGTGCTGAGCAGGTCGTATTCATTCACTGACAGTACGGTATAGTAGGGGGGTCACAGTGCTGAGCAGGTCGTATTCATTCACTGACAGTACGGTATAGTAGGGGGGTCACAGTGCTGAGCAGGTCGTATTCATTCACTGATAGTAGGGGGTCACAGTGCTGAGCAGGTCGTATTCATTCACTGACAGTACGGTATAGTAGGGGGGTCACAGTGCTGAGCAGGTCGTATTCATTCACTGACAGTACGGTATAGTAGGGGGTCACAGTGCTGAGCAGGTCGTATTCATTCACTGACAGTACAGTATAGTAGGGGGGTCACAGTGCTGAGCAGGTCGTATTCATTCACTGACAGTACGGTATAGTAGGGGGGTCACAGTGCTGAGCAGGTCGTATTCATTCACTGACAGTACGGTTATAGTAGGGGGGTCACAGTGCTGAGCAGGTCGTATTCATTCACCGACAGTACGGTATAGTAGGGGGGTCACAGTGCTGAGCAGGTCGTATTCATTCACTGACAGTACGGTATAGTAGGGGGTCACAGTGCTGAGCAGGTCGTATTCATTCACTGACAGTACGGTATAGTAGGGGGGTCACAGTGCTGAGCAGGTCGTATTCATTCACTGACAGTACGGTATAGTAGGGGGGTCACAGTGCTGAGCAGGTCGTATTCATTCACTGACAGTACGGTATAGTAGGGGGTCACAGTGCTGAGCAGGTCGTATTCATTCACTGACAGTACGGTATAGTATGGGGGTCACAGTGCTGAGCAGGTCGTATTCATTCACTGGCAGTACGGTATAGTATGGGGTCACAGTGCTGAGCAGGTCGTATTCATTCACTGACAGTACGGTATAGTAGGGGGGTCACAGTGCTGAGCAGGTCATATTCATTCACTGACAGTACGGTATAGTAGGGGGGGGTCACAGTGCTGAGCAGGTCGTATTCAGTCACTGACAGTACGGTATAGTAGGGGGTCACAGTGCTGAGCAGGTCGTATTCATTCACTGACAGTACGGTATAGTAGGGGGGTCACAGTGCTGAGCAGGTCGTATTCATTCACTGACAGTACGGTATAGTAGGGGGGTCACAGTGCTGAGCAGGTCGTATTCATTCACTGACAGTACGGTATAGTAGGGGGTCACAGTGCTGAGCAGGTCGTATTCATTCACTGACAGTACGGTATAGTATGGGGTCACAGTGCTGAGCAGGTCGTATTCATTCACTGACAGTACGGTATAGTAGGGGGGTCACAGTGCTGAGCAGGTCGTATTCATTCACTGACAGTACGGTATAGTAGGGGGTCACAGTGCTGAGCAGGTCGTATTCATTCACTGACAGTACGGTATAGTAGGGGGGTCACAGTGCTGAGCAGGTCGTATTCATTCACTGACAGTACGGTATAGTAGGGGGGGTCACAGTGCTGAGCAGGTCGTATTCATTCACTGACAGTACGGTATAGTAGGGGGGTCACAGTGCTGAGCAGGTCGTATTCATTCACTGACAGTACGGTATAGTAGGGGGTCACAGTGCTGAGCAGGTCGTATTCATTCACTGACAGTACGGTACAGTAGGGGGGTCACAGTGCTGAGCAGGTCGTATTCATTCACTGACAGTACGGTATAGTAGGGGGGGTCACAGTGCTGAGCAGGTCGTATTCATTCACTGACAGTACGGTATAGTAGGGGGTCACAGTGCTGAGCAGGTCGTATTCATTCACTGACAGTACGGTATAGTAGGGGGGTCACAGTGCTGAGCAGGTCGTATTCATTCACTGACAGTACGGTATAGTAGGGGGGTCACAGTGCTGAGCAGGTCGTATTCATTCACTGACAGTACGGTACAGTAGGGGGGTCACAGTGCTGAGCAGGTCGTATTCATTCACTGACAGTACGGTATAGTAGGGGGGTCACAGTGCTGAGCAGGTCGTATTCATTCACTGACAGTACGGTATAGTAGGGGGTCACAGTGCTGAGCAGGTCGTATTCATTCACTGACAGTACGGTATAGTAGGGGGGTCACAGTGCTGAGCAGGTCGTATTCATTCACTGACAGTACGGTATAGTAGGGGGGTCACAGTGCTGAGCAGGTCGTATTCATTCACTGACAGTACGGTATAGTAGGGGGTCACAGTGCTGAGCAGGTCGTATTCATTCACTGACAGTACGGTATAGTAGGGGGGTCACAGTGCTGAGCAGGTCGTATTCATTCACTGACAGTACGGTATAGTAGGGGGGTCACAGTGCTGAGCAGGACAGTCTGACCTGTGCGTTATGACAATAGGAAAGCTCTGAATCAATAAGACTCACATCAGACGTCGGGGTAATTTTCAGATACTGTGTACAGTATGGTCTTTTTATCCACTATATTGGTTTGAGAGCTGGGATTCACAATTGGTAGTTTTCAGCTGCGTTCACTGACGGGGGGTTATATAGCTTTGGTAGATCACAGAGTCGGGTATGCTTCAGCTTTATACTATTACAGTATGCTGCATTCACTGACAGCACTGTTTTGATTTGTGCGTTTATGACAATGGGGAATTTGCGCTTTGTGACATGGCTTGAGAACTGAGAGGCACGTCTTGCGCTTGGGTGAACCCTGGTCATATATCCACTGTACAGTCGTGGTCAAAAGTTTTGAGAATGACACACATACTCATTTTCACAAAGTCTGCTGCCTCAGTTTTGACGATGTCAATTTGCATATACTTCAGAATGTCATGAAGAGTGATCAGATGAATTGCAATTAATTGCAAAGTCCCTCTTTGCCATGAAAATGAACTTAATTCCAAAAAAAAGATTTCCACTGCATTTCAGCCCTGCCACAAAAGGACCAGCTGCCATCATTTCAGTGATTCTCTCGTTAACACAGGTGAGAGTGTTGACGAGGACAAGGCTGGAGATCACTCTGTCATGCTGATTGAGTTAGAATAACAGACTGGAAGCTTTAAAAGGAGGGTGGTGCATGAAATCATTGTTCTTCCTCTGTTAACCATGGTTACCTGCAAGGAAACATGTGCCGTCATCATTGCTTTGCACAAAAAGGGCTTCACAGGCAAGGATATTGTTGCTAGTAAGATTGCACCTAAATCAACCATTTATCGGATCATCAAGAACTTCAAGGAGAGAGGGTCAATTGTTGTGAAGAAGGCGTCAGGGCGCCCAAGAAAGTCCAGCAAGCGCCAGGACCACCTCCTAAAGTTGATTCAGCTGCAGGATCGGGGCACCACCAGTGCAGAGCTTGCTCGGGAATGGCAGCAGGCAGGTGTGAGTGCATCTGCACACACAGTGAGGCGAATACTTTTGGAGGATGGCCTGGTGTCAAGAAGGGCAGCAAAGAAGCCACTTCTCTCCAGGAAAAACATCAGGGACAGACTGATATTCTGCAAAGGGTACAGGGATTGGACTGCTGAGGACTGGGGTAAAGTCATTTTCTCTGATGAATCCCCTTTCCGATTGTTTGGGGCATCCGGAAAACACCTTGTCCAGAGAAGACAAGGTGAGCGCTACCATCAGTCCTGTGTCATGCCAACAGTAAAGCATCCTGAGACCATTCATGTGTGGGGTTGCTTCTCAGCCAAGGGAGTCGGCTCACTCACAATTTTGCCTAAGAACACAGCCATGAATAAAGAATGGTACCAACACATCCTCCGAGAGCAACTTCTCCCAACCATCCAAGAACAGTTTGGTGACGACGAATGCCTTTTCCAGCATGATGGCTCGGGGATCAAAACATTGACATTTTGGGCCCATGACCAGGAAACTCCCCAGACCTTAATCCCATTGAGAACTTGTGGTCGATCCTCAAGAGGCGGGCGTACAAACAAAAACCCACAAATTCAGACAAAATCCAAGCATTGATTATGCAAGAATAGGCTGCCATCAGTCAGGATGTGGCCCAGAAGTTAATTGACAGCATTGCCAGTGCGGATTGCAGAAGTCTTGAAAAAGAAGGGTCAACACTGAAAATATTGACTCTTTGCATAACCTTCATGTAGTTGTCAATAAAAGCATTTGACACTTATGGAATGCTTGTAATTATACTTCAATATACCATAGTAACATCTGACAAAAATATCTCATAACACTGAAGCAGCGAACTTTTGTGAAGACCAATACTTGTGTCATTCTCAAAACGTTTGACCCTGGTCTTATATCCATCGTATTGCTTTGAGAACCAAGACTTGTGGCGCAAACCGATTTTTGTTTCGCTGTTGTGTCTGAGTCTAGATCCTACAGTATCTTGGGACTTGTTCTCACCTCGTCACCCTGACGCTCGCTGAACGCACATTATCTGATCCGTCTGTAGGCTACGCGGGCGGCAGGCTACCGAACATGTATTTGATCTATTGCACAGCTGATTCAACATGTCAATCAATTCATCAAGTCCTTGACCAGGGTAACCAGGGGAGCTAGTTCAGGGCTAGGGGTAATAGACCAGGGTAACCAGGGGAGCTAGTTCAGGGCTAGGGGTAATAGACCAGGGTAACCAGGGGAGCTAGTTCAGGGCTAGGGGTAATAGACCAGGGTAACCAGGGGAGCTAGTTCAGGGCTAGGGGTAATAGACCAGGGTAACCAGGGGAGCTAGTTCAGGGCTAGGGGTAATAGACCAGGGTAACCAGGGGAGCTAGTTCAGGGCTAGGGGTAATAGACCAGGGTAACCAGGGGAGCTAGTTCAGGGCTAGGGGTAATAGACCAGGGTAACCAGGGGAGCTAGTTCAGGGCTAGGGGTAATAGACCAGGGTAACCAGGGGAGCTAGTTCAGGGCTAGGGGTAATAGACCAGGGTAACCAGGGGAGCTAGTTCAGGGCTAGGGGTAATAGACCAGGGTAACCAGGGGAGCTAGTTCAGGGCTAGGGGTAATAGACCAGGGTAACCAGGGGAGCTAGTTCAGGGCTAGGGGTAATAGACCAGGGTAACCAGGGGAGCTAGTTCAGGGCTAGGGGTAATAGACCAGGGTAACCAGGGGAGCTAGTTCAGGGCTAGGGGTAATAGACCAGGGTAACCAGGGGAGCTAGTTCAGGGCTAGGGGTAATAGACCAGGGTAACCAGGGGAGCTAGTTCAGGGCTAGGGGTAATAGACCAGGGTAACCAGGGGAGCTAGTTCAGGGCTAGGGGTAATAGACCAGGGTAACCAGGGGAGCTAGTTCAGGGCTAGGGGTAATAGACCAGGGTAACCAGGGGAGCTAGTTCAGGGCTAGGGGTAATAGACCAGGGTAACCAGGGGAGCTAGTTCAGGGCTAGGGGTAATAGACCAGGGTAACCAGGGGAGCTAGTTCAGGGCTAGGGGTAATAGACCAGGGTAACCAGGGGAGCTAGTTCAGGGCTACAACCAGGGTAATAGAAAGAGAAGCCATTCAGGTCCCAAATGGCACCCTATTCCCTATATATATAGTGCAGGTCAAAAGTACAGTGGCTTGCGAAAGTATTCACCCCCCCTTGGCATTTTTCCTATTTTGTTGCCTTACAACCTGGAATTAAAATGGATTTTTGGGGGGTTTGTATCATTTGATTTACACAACATGCCTACCACTTTGAAGATGCAAAATATTTTTTATTGTGAAACAAACAAGAAGTAAGACAAAAAAACTGAAAACTTGAGCGTGCATAACTATTCACCCCTCCAAAATCAATACTTTGTAGAGCCACCTTTTGCAGCAATTACAGCTGCAAGTCTCTTGGGGTATGTCTCTATAAGCTTGGCACATCTAGCCACTGGGATTTTTGCCCATTCTTCAAGGCAAAACTGCTCAAGCTCCTTCAAGTTGGATGGGTTCCGCTGGTGTAGAGCAATCTTTAAGTCCCAGTCTCTGCCGATGGAAAAACATGGATGGTGTTCTCGGGTGATGAGCGGTGTTGGATTTGCGCCAGACATAGCGTTTTCCTTGATGGCCAAAAAGCTCAATTTTAGTCTCATCTGACCAGAGTACCTTCTTCCATATGTTTGGGGAGTCTCCCACATGCCTTTTGGTGAACACCAAACTTGTTTGCTTATTTTATTTTTTTAAGCAATGGCTTTTTTCTGCCCACTCTTCCGTAAAGCCCAGCTCTGTGGAGTGTACGGCTTAAAGTGGTCCTATGGACAGATACTCCAATCTCCGCTGTGGAGCTTTGCAGCTCCTTCAGGGTTATCTTTGGTCTCTTTGTTGCCTCTCTGATTAATGACCTCCTTGCCTGGTCCGTGAGTTTTGGTGGGCGGCCCTCTCTTGGCAGGTTTGTTGTGGTGCCATATTCTTTCCATTTTTTAATAATGGATTTAATGGTGCTCCGTGGGATGTTCAAAGTTTCGGATAGTTTTTTATAACCCAAACCTGATTTGTACTTCTATATATACTGAGATCATGTGACACTTAAATTGCACACAGGTGGACTTTATTTAACTAATTATGTGACTTCTGAAGGTAATTGGTTGCACCAGATCTTATTTAGGGGCTTCATAACAAAGGGGGTTATGTTTTTCATTTCAATTCACCAATTTTGACTATTTTTGTGTATGTCCATTACAAAATCCATTTAAATTACAGGTTGTAATGCAACAAAATAGGAAAAACGCCAAGGGGGATGAATTATTTTGCAAGGCACTGTAGTGCACTATATAGGGAATATGGTCAGAATTAGTTCACTATATAGGGAATAGGATGCCATTTGGGACGTATGCTAAGTCAGTGGTTCAGAGGTCAGACATGAGCCCCAGTGGTAGTAGTAAGGTGAAGTTTCTCCAAGACCCTCAGGTCAGGACAATAGAGGTCAGGACAATAGAGGTCAGGACAATAGAGGTCAGGACAATAGAGGTCAGGGCAATAGAGGTCAGGACAATAGAGGTCAGGGCAATAGAGGTCAGGGCAATAGAGGTCAGGGCAATAGAGGTCAGGACAATAGAGGTCAGGGCAATAGAGGTCAGGGCAATAGAGGTCAGGGCAATAGAGGTCAGGGCAATAGAGGTCAGGGCAATAGAGGTCAGGGCAATAGAGGTCAGGGCAATAGAGGTCAGGGCAATAGAGGTCAGGGCTGATCTACGGTGAGTTCTGTGTTTTCGATCCTAATGGTTAAGATTGTGATTTTAGGAGGGTAAGGGCTTTCCTCTCCATCTTAAATAAGCAGGGCTTTCCTCTCCATCTTAAATAAGCATGCCCCGTTCAAAAAATTCAGAACTAAGAACAGATATAGCCCCTGGTTCACCCCAGACTTGACTGCCCTTGACCAGCACAAAAACATCCTGTGGCGTACTGCATTAGCATCGAACAGCCCCCGCGATATGCAACTTTTCAGGGAAGTCAGGAACCAATATACATAATCAGTTAGGAAAGCCAAGGCTAGCTTTTTCAAACAGAAATTTGCATCCTGTAGCACTAACTCCAAAAAGTTTTGGGACACTGTAAAGTCCATGGAGAATAAGAGCACCTCCTCCCAGCTACCCACTGCACTGAGGCTAGGAAACATTGTCACCACTGATAAATCTACGATAATCGAGAATTTCAATAAGCATTTTGCTACGGCTGGCCATGCTTTCCACCTGGCTACCCCTACCCCGGCCACCAGCTCTGCACCCTCCGCTGCAACTTGCCCATGCCCCCCCCCCCCCCCCCCCCCCCCCCCCCGCTTCGACTTCACCCAAATTCAGATAGCTGATGTCCTGAAAGAGCTGCAAAATCTGGACCCCTACAAATCAGCTGGGCTAGACAATCTGGACCCTTTCTTTCTAAAATTAGCCGCCGAAATTGGCGTAACCCCTATTACTAGCCTGTTCAATCTCTCTTTCGTATCGTCTGAGATCCCCAGAGATTGGAAAGCTGCCGCGGTCATCCCCCTCTTCAAAGGGGGTGACACTCTAGATCCAAACTGTTACAGACCTATATCCATCCTGCCCTGCCTTTCGAAAGTATTTCAAAGCCAAGTTAAAAAATACTCTAAGGCAGAGGTGGTCCACTATTTTTATATTTTATTTAAATCCGGGGAAATTAGCGACTGCGATGGTGGTCCTCAAGAGGTTTTGACTGTGATTTGGTGGTCCCCGGAACAGAAAATGTTTGGAACCGCTTCTCTAAGGGCCTCTTCTCACCATGGCCAGATAATATTAGGTAGTTCAGTTGCCCTGCATGTGGGCATTAGTGTTGAGGAGTCATGTAGCTAGATGTTAGTGCTGTTAGCATTAACCCACATTTCAGTTATTTTTTGGGTTTTGAACAACTAATTGAGCGACGTCGGATCAATTATTTGAATTCCATTTCATTCTGGGGTTTTCTGTGAGCTCAATGTGCACATTGCACAGTTTCTCTAGAGATGAATCCGATCAAGCCCGAACAAACCTTTTTTATTTTTTTACTTATTGTTTTTTTGTGATGTGTTTTTTTAATTAAATTGTTTTATCTGTATTGTTTGCTATCACTTGTTTTCTTTGGTGCAAATAAATACATAAACTGTACGGTGTATTAGGGAGTTGTTGTTTCCAACAGGCCAATATTCTACATGGTTTAGTGCAGAAAACATGGTAATTAACTACAATGACCATAATCCATAGCGTGCCTACTTGTCAGGTCTGTGTTTCTATAGGCCTGCTACATTAGGTTAGTGTGGGGCAGACACTGAGATAGAGAGCAGTTGCTTCGCGAGGTATCTCTTCCTGAACATACATTATCTAAATGATTGATAGTTGGTCTTCAGCAGTCATAAAAGTATGGAAGTAGAGAAAGTAGTAAAGAAAGTAGTTTTGGGGATAAGACTGATAAAACATAGTCATACTGGATTTTTTTTCCTCCGTCTATTTAATGACTAAACACTGTCTCTTCAATGACTAAACACTGTCTCTTCAATGACTAAGCACTGTCTCTTCAATGACTAAGCACTGTCTCTTCAATCAATGACTAAGCACTGTCTCTTCAATGACTAAACACTGTCTCTTCAATGACTAAGCACTGTCTCTTCAATGACTAAGCACTGTCTCTTCAATGACTAAGCACTGTCTCTTCAATGACTAAGCACTGTCTTCAATCAATGACTAAGCACTGTCTCTTCAATGACTAAGCACTGTCTCTTCAATGACTAAACACTGTCTCTTCAATGACTAAGCACTGTCTCTTCAATGACTAAACACTGTCTCTTCAATGACTAAACACTGTCTCTTCAATGACTAAGCACTGTCTCTTCAATGACTAAACACTGTCTCTTCAGTCTCTTCAATGACTAAACACTGTCTCGTCAATGACTAAACACTGTCTCGTCAATGACTAAACACTGTCTCGTCAATGACTAAACACTGTCTCTTCAATGACTAAGCACTGTCTCTTCAATGACTAAGCACTGTCTCTTCAATGACTAAACACTGTCTCTTCAGTCTCTTCAATGACCAAGCACTGTCTCTTCAATGACTAAACACTGTCTCTTCAATGACTAAACACTGTCTCTTCAATGACTAAACACTGTCTCTTCAATGACTAAACACTGTCTCTTCAGTCTCTTCAATGACTAAGCACTGTCTCTTCAATGACTAAACACTGTCTCTTCAATGACTAAACACTGTCTCTTCAATGACTAAGCACTGTCTCTTCAATCAATGACTAAACACTGTCTCTTCAATCAATGACTAAACACTGTCTCTTCAATGACTAAACACTGTCTCTTCAATGACTAAACACTCTCTTCAATCAATGACTAAGCACTGTCTCTTCAATGACTAAGCACTGTCTCTTCAATGACTAAACACTGTCTCTTCAATGACTAAACACTGTCTCTTCAATGACTAAGCACTGTCTCTTCAATGACTAAACACTGTCTCTTCAATGACTAAACACTGTCTCTTCAATGACTAAGCCACTGTCTCTTCAATGACTAAACACTGTCTCTTCAGTCTCTTCCAATGACTAAACACTGTCTCTCCATGACTAACACTGTCTCTTCAATGACTAAACACTGTCTCTTCAATGACTAAGCACTGTCTCTTCAATCAATGACTAAACACTGTCTCTTCAATGACTAAACACTGTCTCTTCAATGACTAAACACTGTCTCTTCAATGACTAAACACTGTCTCTTCAATGACTAAGCACTGTCTCTTCAATGACTAAGCACTGTCTCTTCAATGACTAAACACTGTCTCTTTCAATGACTAACACTGTCTCTTCAATGACTAAGCACTGTCTCTTCAATGACTAAGCACTGTCTCTTCAATGACCTAAAACACTGTCTCTTCAGTCTCTTCAATGGACCAAGCACTGTCTCTTCAATGACTAAACACTGTCTCTTCAATGACTAAACACTGTCTCTTCAATGACTAAGCACTGTCTCTTCAATGACTAAACACTGTCTCTTCAATGACTAAACACTGTCTCTTCAGTCTCTTCAATGACTAAGCACTGTCTCTTCAATGACTAAACACTGTCTCTTCAATGACTAAACACTGTCTCTTCAATGACTAAGCACTGTCTCTTCAATCAATGACTAAACACTGTCTCTTCAATCAATGACTAAACACTGTCTCTTCAATGACTAAACACTGTCTCTTCAATGACTAAACACTGTCTCTTCAATGACTAAACACTCTCTTCAATCAATGACTAAGCACTGTCTCTTCAATGACTAAGCACTGTCTCTTCAATGACTAAGCACTGTCTCTTCAATGACTAAACACTGTCTCTTCAATGACTAAGCACTGTCTCTTCAATGACTAAACACTGTCTCTTCAATGACTAAACACTGTCTCTTCAATGACTAAACACTGTCTCTTCAATGACTAAACACTGTCTCTTCAATGACTAAACACTGTCTCTTCAATGACTAAACACTGTCTCTTCAGTCTCTTCAATGACTAAACACTGTCTCTTCAATGACTAAACACTGTCTCTTCAATGACTAAACACTGTCTCTTCAATGACTAAGCACTGTCTCTTCAATCAATGACTAAACACTGTCTCTTCAATGACTAAACACTGTCTCTTCAATGACTAAACACTGTCTCTTCAATGACTAAACACTGTCTCTTCAATGACTAAGCACTGTCTCTTCAATGACTAAGCACTGTCTCTTCAATGACTAAACACTGTCTCTTCAATGACTAAACACTGTCTCTTCAATGACTAAACACTGTCTCTTCAATGACTAAACACTGTCTCTTCAATGACTAAGCACTGTCTCTTCAATGACTAAACACTGTCTCTTCAGTCTCTTCAATGACTAAACACTGTCTCTTCAATGACTAAACACTGTCTCTTCAATGACTAAACACTGTCTCTTCAATGACTAAACACTGTCTCTTCAATGACTAAGCACTGTCTCTTCAATGACTAAACACTGTCTCTTCAATGACTAAAACACTGTCTCTTCAATGACTAAACCTGTCTCTCTATTCTTTCAATGACTAAACACTGTCTCTTCAATGACTAAACACTGTCTCTTCAATGACTAAACACTGTCTCTTCAATGACTAAACACTGTCTCTTCAATGACTAAACACTGTCTCTTCAATGACTAAGCACTGTCTCTTCAATGACTAAACACTGTCTCTTCAATGACTAAGCACTGTCTCTTCAATGACTAAACACTGTCTCTTCAATGACTAAACACTTTAATTCTGTTTCCTTTCTGTCAGTGACATACCAACAACACGTACTAAACAGACACTTACTCACCTAGCTACCTTAAGATGCACTAATAACTAATGGATACATTCTGGATAAGAGTGTCTGCTAAATGACAGAAATGTACACATTTAAAATGTAGAGAAATGTCTCCTAATGAAGCCTCAATCACTAAACCCTGTTGGTGTTTCCTTTCTCCCCTGCGGTAGTTTGAGGAAGACCTGTCGTCAACCAGGTCATCAACCAGTCGCCTGTCAATCAAGTCTCCACTGAGGGGAGTCAAGAAGCTGAAGAATATGCAGTGTAAAATCACCCTGCTAGATGGCTCCGATTACACCATGACGGTGGATGTGAGTACAGGGGGAGGGGGAGGAGGAGGAGGAGGAGGAGGAGGAGGAGGAGGAGGAGGAGGAGGAGGAGGGGGGGGAGGGGAGAGGGGGAGGGGGGGAGGGGGAGGGGGAGGTTGCTACTATCTGCCATCCATTCATGGTGGATGTGAGTGGACGAAATTGTAATAGCTCATTTCAGATTTGTATCTCTCTCTCAAATTAGACAGATAAGATGTATGACATTACTTTTCTGCCATCAAGTTCCAGAAACCATAATCTCAAATGGCATACAGTAACAGCAACTTAGCTGCCAGTTCTGTCAGATTCATACAGTAACAGCAACTTAGCTTCCAGTTCTGTCAGATTCATACAGTAACAGCAACGTAGCTTCCAGTTCTGTCAGATTCATACAGTAACAGCAACTTAGCTTCCAGTTCTGTCAGATTCATACAGTAACAGCAACTTAGCTTCCAGTTCTGTCAGATTCATACAGTAACAGCAACGTAGCTTCCAGTTCTGTCAGATTCATACAGTAACAGCAACTTAGCTTCCAGTTCTGTCAGATTCATACAGTAACAGCAACTTAGCTTCCAGTTCTGTCAGATTCATACAGTAACAGCAACTTAGCTTCCAGTTCTGTCAGATTCATACAGTAACAGCAACGTAGCTTCCAGTTCTGTCAGATTCATACAGTAACAGCAACTTAGCTTCCAGTTCTGTCAGATTCATACAGCAACGTAGCTTCCAGTTCTGTCAGATTCATACAGTAACAGCAACTTAGCCTCCAGTTCTGTCAGATTCATACAGTAACAGCAACTTAGCCTCCAGTTCTGTCAGATTCATACAGTAACAGCAACTTAGCCTCCAGTTCTGTCAGATTCATACAGTAACAGCAACTTGGCTTCCAGTTCTGTCAGATTCATACAGTAACAGCAACGTAGCTTCCAGTTCTGTCAGATTCATACAGTAACAGCAGCTTAGCTTCCAGTTCTGTCAGATTCATACAGCAACTTAGCTTCCAGTTCTGTCAGATTCATACAGCAACTTAGCTTCCAGTTCTGTCAGATTCATACAGTAAAAGCAACTTAGCTTCCAGTTCTGTCAGATTCATACAGCAACTTAGCTTCCAGTTCTGTCAGATTCATACAGCAACTTAGCTTCCAGTTCTGTCAGATTCATACAGCAACTTAGCTTCCAGTTATGTCAGATTCATACAGCAACTTAGCTTCCAGTTCTGTCAGGTTTATACAGTTCTGATAAGTTAGAGTTGTGTGAGTCAGACATGCCAAGGACTCAACGCTCCTTCCACCCAAACAAACCCAAATCTCCTTTAGCCGGATAGAGGATAGAGCCCGAGGGGGGGGGGAATGAGGAGGCGGGGGGGGGTAGATTAGCCCTGTGTTTGGGTTGGGGCTTTGGAACAGGAGCGGTTTGTGTGGTTTTGTAGGGGGGGTTTAGGAACGGTTGTGTGTTTTGCGTTCGGGGCTTTGGAACGGGAGTGGTTGAGCAGTTTGTGTGTCTGTCTGTGTGTAGAGGATCAGTGTCATACTACTCACTGTGCTCAGCGTGAGTCACTCCCAATCCTACTTTAGCCTCCTGCTGTGGACTGCCAGCACTTCTGAACAATGTTCTAATCTGGACGGGATGTAGCCGTACAGGGATTGGCGTATGAGCTGGTTTGGGGGTCGTTTGGGGTAGACTGCAGTAACTGCTGGTGCTGTTTTTAATTCTACGGCAATTTAGAACTGTACAGTTGTTTGTTTTCTTGCTCTATGTTGTGTTATACCCGGACTGGTACAGTCATTTATGTTGTGTTATACCCGGACTGGTACAGTCATTGATTGGCAGATGTGTAAAGCAAATGCACGCGCCCACAGGACAGTTATTCGAGGTTGAGGGAAGGTGTGAGAGAGAGACGTCCACTCGAGCCCAGCCATCCGTGAACTGGGACCACTTTAACACTGTGATACATTTTAGAACATGACGTCATAATCAGAACACAATCAGAATGATTGGGAGCTATTTCACACTAGGAAGATGTTTTACATGACACCCTGCAGTGTGGTCTGTGGCTGGGTCATTTATTAGTGTCCAGGCCTCCCCTGCATGAGAGAAGACCGTGAGGAGGGGAGAGAGCCTCCCGAGGAATCTCCCTGGGTTGCCCCATCTGTTTACAGACTTATATTACCCACTCTCTCCTTCAATCCTCCTCCCTCCACCAGCCCCCGGCAGCCGCCGCCACCCCAGCGCCCCGGCAGCCGCCGCCCCCCACCAGCCCCCGGCAAACCGCCGCCCGCCACCAGCGCCCCGGCAAACCCGCCCGCCACCAGCGCCCCGGCAGCCCCATCAGCGCCCACCCCAGCCGCCGCCCCCACCATCCGCCGGCAAGCCCGCCCGCCACCAGCGCCCCGGAAGCGCCGCCCGCCACCAAGCCCGGGAAGCCGCCGCCCCCCACCAGCGCCCGGGAAGCGCGTCCCGACCAGCGCCCCCGGGAAGGCCGCCCCCGCACCAGCGCCCGTGAAGCCGCCGCCGCAACCAGCGCCCGGAAGCCGCGCCCGCCACCAGCGCCCGGTAAGCCCGCCCCCACCATCGCCAGAAGCCCCCCGAGACAAGAACCGCCCCACCATGCGCCCCTTGAATCTTCCCGCCCAGCCCCGGTAAGCCGCCCCCGCCACCATCTCCTTAATCCCCTCCTCCACCATCTCCCTTTAATCCTCCTCCCTCCACCATCTCCCTTTAATCCTCCTCCTTCCACCATCTCCCATTTAATCCTCTTCCCTCCACCATCTCCCCTTTAATCCTCCTCCCTCCACCATCTCCCTTTAATCCTCCTTATGTCTCTGCATCCAGTATGAAGGAAGTTAAGAGGTAGTTTCACAAGCCAATGCTAATTAGTGTTAGCCCAATTACTGGAAATATATGGTATCTACTACCATGCTAGCAGTTACCATAGACTTCCAGTCATTGAGCTAACTGTAGTTAGCAGCTAGATAGCAACTTCCTTCAAACTGCACGCAGAGATATAAAAATTGTATCCACAAGTTCATCTGACTTGGAGGAAGTAGATAAAGGGCTTCATTGCAACAATCCTGAAGTATCCCTTTAAGGATTCCAGCTTTAAAGCCAGCAGCGTTTCACACAGACAGAGAGGTTAGCTGGTTACAGGTTGGTTAAGGCCAGCAGCGTATCACACAGACAGAGAGGTTAGCTGGTTACAGGTTGGTTAAGGCCAGCAGCATATCACACAGACAGAGAGGTTAGCTGGTTACAGGTTGGTTAAGGCCAGCAGCATATCACACAGACAGAGAGGTTAGCTGGTTACAGGTTGGTTAAGGCTAGCAGCATATCACACAGACAGAGAGGTTAGCTGGTTACAGGTTGGTTAAGGCCAGCAGCGTATCACACAGACAGAGAGGTTAGCTGGTTACAGGTTGGTTAAGGCCAGCAGCATATCACACAGACAGAGAGGTTAGCTGGTTACAGGTTGGTTAAGGCCAGCAGCATATCACACAGACAGAGAGGTTAGCTGGTTACAGGTTGGTTAAGGCCACAGCGTTTCACACAGACAGAGAGGTTAACTGGTTACAGGTTGGTTAAGGCCAGCAGCATATCACCCAGACAGAGAGGTTAGCTGGTTACAGTTGGTTAAGGCCAGCAGCGTTTCACACGACAGAGAGGTTAGCTGGTTACAGGTTGGTTAAGGCCAGCAGCATATCACACAGACAGAGAGGTTAGCTGGTTACAGGTGGTTAAGGTAGCAGCAATCACACGACGAGAGGTTACTGGTTACAGGTTGGTTAGGCTAGCAGCATATCACACAGACAGAGAGGTTTAGCTGGTTACAGGTTAGTTAAGGCCAGCAGATATCACACAGACAGAGAGGTTAGCTGGTTACAGGTTGGTTAAAGGGTAGCAGCATATCACACGACAGAGAGGTTGCTGGTTACAGGTTTTGGGTTTAAACCCAGACAGAGAGGTTAGCTGTTACAGGTTAGTTAAGGCTAGCAGCATATACACCGACAGAGAGGGTTTGCTGGTACAGGTTGGTTAAGGCTAGCAGCATATCACACAGGACAGGAGGGTTAGCTGGTTACAGGTTAGTTAGGCCCAGCAGCATATCACACAGACAGAGGGGTTAGCTGGTTACAGGTGGTTAAGCCACAGACAGCGAGGTTAGTGGTTACAGGTTGGTTAAGGCTAGCAGCATATAACACAGACAGAGAGTGTTAGCTGGTTACAGGTAGTTAAGGCTAGCAGCATATCACACAGACAGAGAGGTTAGCTGGTTACAGGTGGTTAAGCCACAGACAGAGAGGTTAGCTGTTACAGGTTGGTAAGGCTTAGCAGCAATCACACAGACAGAGAGGTTAGCTGGTTACAGGTTGGTTAAGCCACAGACAGAGAGGTTAGCTGGTTACAGGTTGGTTAAGGCTAGCAGCATATCACACAGACAGAGAGGTTAGCTGGTTACAGGTTGGTTAAAAGCCAGCAGCATATCACACAGACAGAGAGTTAGCTGGTTACAGGTTGGTTTAAGGCCAGCAGCAATATCACACAGACAGAGGGGTTAGCTGGTTACGGTTGGTTAAGGCTAGCAGCATATCACACAGACAGAGAGGTTTAGCTGGTTACAGGGTTGGTTAAGGCTAGCAAGCATATCACACAGACAGAGAGGTTAGCTGGTTACAGGTTAGTTAAGGCTAGCAGCATATCACACAGACAGAGGGGTTAGCTGGTTACAGGTTAGTTAAGGCCAGCAGCATATCACACAGACAGAGGTTAGCTGGTTACAGGTTGGTTAAGGCTAGCAGCATATCACACAGACAGAGAGGTTAGCTGGTTACAGGTTGGTTAAGGCCAGCAGCATATCACACAGACAGAGAGGTTTAGCTGGTTACAGGTTAGTTAAGGCTAGCAGCATATCACACAGACAGAGAGGTTAGCTGGTTACAGGTTGGTTAAGGCCAGCAGCGTTTCACACAGACAGAGAGGTTAGCTGGTTACAGGTTGGTTAAGGCCAGCAGCATATCACACAGACAGAGAGGTTAGCTGGTTACAGGTTGGTTAAGGCCAGCAGCGTTTCACACAGACAGAGAGGTTAGCTGGTTACAGGTTGGTTAAGGCCAGCAGCATATCACACAGACAGAGAGGTTAGCTGGTTACAGGTTGGTTAAGGCTAGCAGCATATCACACAGACAGAGAGGTTAGCTGGTTACAGGTTGGTTAAGGCTAGCAGCATATCACACAGACAGAGAGGTTAGCTGGTTACAGGTTAGTTAAGGCCAGCAGCATATCACACAGACAGAGAGGTTAGCTGGTTACAGGTTGGTTAAGGCTAGCAGCATATCACACAGACAGAGAGGTTAGCTGAGTTTACAGGTTGGTTAAGGCTAGCAGCATATCACACAGACAGAGAGGTTAGCTGGTTACAGGTTAGTTAAGGCCAGCAGCATATCACACAGACAGAGGGGTTAGCTGGTTACAGGTTGGTTAAGCCACAGACAGAGAGGTTAGCTGGTTACAGGTTGGTTAAGGCTAGCAGCATATCACACAGACAGAGAGGTTAGCTGGTTACAGGTTAGTTAGGCTAGCAGCAGATCACACAGACAGAGAGGTTAGCTGGTTACAGGTTAGTTTAAGGCCAGCAGCGTTTCACACAGACAGAGAGGTTAGCTGGTTACGGTTGGTTAAGGCTAGCAGCATATCACACAGACAGAGAGGTTAGCTGGTTACAGGTTAGTTAAGCCACAGACAGAGAGGTTAGCTGGTTACAGGTTGGTTAAGGCTAGCAGCATATCACACAGACAGAGAGGTTAGCTGGTTACAGGTTGGTTAAGCCACAGACAGAGAGGTTAGCTGGTGACAGGTTTGGTTAAGGCTAGCAGATATCACACAGAAAGAGAGGTTAGCTGGTTACAGGTTTGGTTGAAAGCCAGCAGCATATCACACAGACAGAGAGGTTAGCTTGGTTACAGGTTGGTTAAAGGCCAGCAGCATATCAAACACAGACAGAGAGGTTTAGCTGGTTACAGGTTGGTTAAGGCCAGCAGCATATCACCCAGACAGAGAGGTTAAGCTGGGTTACAGGTTGGTTCCCACAAAAGAGGTTAGCTGTTACAGGTGGTTAAGGGAGCCCGCTATCACACCCGACAGAAGGTTAGCTGGTTACAGGTTTGTTAGGCTCACATATCACACAGCCCGAGAGGTTAGCTGGTACAGGTTAGTTAAGGCCAGCACGTTTCACACAGACAGAGAGGTTAGCTGGTTTCAGGTTTGTTAAGGCTAGCAGCTATCACACAGACAGAGAGGTTAGCTGGTTTCGGTTGGTTAGGCAGCAGCATATCACACAGACAGAGAGGTTAGCTGGTTTCCAGGTTAGGTTAAGCCACAGACCGAGAGGTTAGCTGGTTCAGGTTGGTTAGGCTAGAAACAATTCACACAGACAGAAAGGTTTGCTGTTACAGGTGGTAAAGCCACAGACAGAGAGTTTAGCTGGGTTTCAGGTTGGTTAAGGCTAGCAGATATCACACAGACAGAGAGGTTTAGCTGGTTACAGGTTGGTTAAAGCCAGCAGCATATCACACAGACAGAGAGGTTAGCTGGTTACAGGTTGGTTAAGGCCAGCAGCATATCACACAGACAGAGGGGTTAGCTGGTTACAGGTTGGTTAAGGCTAGCAGCATATCACACAGACAGAGAGGTTAGCTGGTTACAGGTTAGTTAAGCCACAGACAGAGGGGTTAGCTGGTTACAGGTTAGTTAAGGCTAGCAGCATATCACACAGACAGAGGTTAGCTGGTTACAGGTTGGTTAAGGCTAGCAGCTTTTCACACAGACAGAGAGGTTAGCTGGTTACAGGTTGGTTAAGGCTAGCAGCTTTTCACACAGACAGAGAGGTTAGCTGGTTACAGGTTGGTTAAGGCTAGCAGCATATCACACAGACAGAAGGGTTAGCTGGTTACAGGTTGGTTAAGGCTAGCAGCATATCACACAGACAGAGAGGTTAGCTGGTTACGGGTTGGTTAAGGCTAGCAGCTTTTCACACATTGAGAACATTGAGGTTAAACAAAGAGACTCAGTTCATTGGTGGGAGTCTGTTTTAGACCATTCCCATTACTGTAGGAAGAAGACACCTCTCTCTCTTCTCTCTCTCTCGCTCTCTCTCTCTCTCGCCTCTGTCTCTCCGTTCTCTCTGTCTCTCTGCTCTCGCTGTCTCCTGTCTACTCTCGCTCTCTCTCTCTCTCTCGGTGGTATCTCTCTCCTTCTGTGTCTCTCTGTCTCTGTCCTCCTGTCTCTCTCCTCTCTCTCTGTCTCTGTCCGCTGTCTCTTGTCTCTGTCTCTGTCCTCTGTCTCTGTCTCGCTCTCTCTGTCTCTTCTGTCTCTGTCTCTGTCTCTGTCCCTCTCTCTCTGTCTCTAATCTCTCTCTCGTCTATCCGCTATCTCTCTCTATCTCCCCTCCTCTCTGCTACTCTATTAACTCTTCTATCTCTCTGTCTCTCTCCCTCTTATCCTCTCTCTCTCTCTCCTCTCTCTGTCCTCTTCCGGTCTTGTCCTCTGCCTCTCTGTCTCTGTCTCTGTCTCATGTTCTCTGCTCTCTCTATTCTCTCCTCTCTCTCTCTCTCTCTCTCTCTCTCTCTCTTCTCTCTCTCTTTCTGTCTCTCTCTTCTCTCTCTCTCTGTTCTCTCTCTCTCTCTCTCTCTCTGTCTCTGTCTCTGTCTCTGTCTCTGTCTCTGTCTCTGTCTCTCTCTCTCTCTCTCTCTCTCTCTCTCTCTGTCTCTCTCTCTGTCTCTGTCTCTCTGTCTCTCTCTCTCTCTCTCTGTCTCTCACTCACTCACTCACTCACTCACTGACGTGGTGTAAAGATGCAATCACTTACCCCATGTGGGAGAAATGTATTCACTGTGATCTTCCTTCGTCTGACTGAAGAGAAATCACTTTCCCTCGTAGCTCGACCTTTTTTTAAATCAACATGCTGCTGTTTTTGCCTTGTTCTTATTGCCGTATCGAGGGGTGTTATCGAGGAGTTGGTGTCGTTAAGTGTCTTTTGTACCTTGCTTAGTGGCTGTTTTCTTTTAATATGGGTTTTTGCTATTGTAATCCTGAGCGCCAATCTCTTTATTGACAAGCTCGGGTTTTCATTGAACCTTTAAGAACAGCTATGGGCGGGGATCAGACTGATTCAGAGCCCAAATACAGTTATAATTACGTGAGCGCAGAATCATGTACCAGACCAGTTCCCATTTCATTTTGTCTAGAAAAATAACACCATCCTCAATGTAGTGAAGTGTCACCAGTGGAGCTGTGTCGGGGTGCTGCTGTGGTGTGACTGTGTTGGGGTGACTGTGTTGGGGTGACTTTCTGATTGTGCTAGGTTGAGGTTTGTGTTGGTGTGACATCGCCTCTGTTTAGTATCAGTCTGTCTGTGCTAACTGCCGGAAAGATGTTGTTCCTGCTGGTAGAAGTGTCTGTCGTAGCATCTTTAAAAGGCTTGTGAATCACACACAAGCATGTCAGATGTAACTCGTAAACACAGGGAGGAAAGAGAGCAGAATTATGCCAGGGCTCTGGGGGAGTGTGGGGAGGGAGGAGGGGAGGGAGGAGGAGAAGGAGAGGGGAGGGAGAAGGAGAGGGGAGGAGGAGGTAGATAACAGAGAGAGAAGAGGTAGATAACAGAGAGAGAGAGTAGGAGATGTCAGAACAGGAGAAGAGAGATGACAGATGTGGACTTCAGACCAGCAGGGAAGACGTCAGTGACAGGCTGTCTACATAATGTTTCACCCCTGCTCTTTGGTCAATTAACTACAGTCTCTACATTGATCCCAGTTAGCTGCACTGTAATGGTGTTGTTCGCTGAAGAACAAATAGTAATCAAGGTCAAAACTCGATTTTTAACTACAGATCATTTTTTTTCCAATTAAGATCAACTAGAGACAGGCATACTACTTGTAAAGAAGCAATGTATTGGGTATGCATTCTAAGTTATATGCTGGTGTAGTAGACATTAGTCTGGCTCATGGTCTCGTGATGAGGTAGCCCCAAGGGATTTTCCTCATGGTCTAATGGATGATGTTGTTTTCTCCCGTGGGGGACCCGGGTTCAGATCCCGCACCCTGACTGTGGAACATGTCGGGGTGCTTTCCAACAGTGTGAACTCTGACCCCTGTTGAATAACTGCTCTGTGTGTGTGTCTCCAGAAACGAGCCAGAGGCCAGGTGCTGTTTGCCAAGGTGTGTGACCATCTGAACCTGCTGGAGACGGACTACTTTGGCATCACGTACCGCGACGTGGAGAACCAGAAGGTAGAGGAAGAGACTCATCAAAGATGTCTGGCTGTGGTCTGTCTGTCTGTCTGTCGGTCTGTCTGTCTGTCAGGTCTGTCTGGGGTCTATCTGTCTGTTGTCTGTCAGTAGTGGTCTGTCTGTCTGTCTGGGGTCTGTCTGTCTGGGGTCTGTCTGTTGTCTGTCAGTAGTGGTCTGGCTGTCTGGCTGTCTGGCATCATGTACCGCGACATGGAGAACCAGAAGGTAGAGGAAGAGTATTATATATAAATATATCCAGGGCCCTTTTTGTTTATTCAGCATCTCAGTGCTGATCTAGGATCACTTTTATCTTTTAGATCATAATGAATAAGATTGCGTAGACAGGGGGACCTGGTCCTAGATCAGCACACCTACTGTGAGATGTTTGTGAATATGGGCCCTGGTGTTGATAGACTGATAACAGTTCCCCCAGGGGAGTTTTCTTTCTTAGGGCAGTGGTAACGTGTCCTGGGGTTTATTATGGATCCCCATTAGTTCCTGCCAAGGCAGCAGCTACTCTTCCTGGGGTTTATTATGGATCCCCATTAGTTCCTGCCAAGGCAGCAGCTACTCTTCCTGGGGTTTATTATGGATCCCCATTAGTTCCTGCCAAGGCAGCAGCTACTCTTCCTGGGGTTTATTATAGATCCCCATTAGTTCCTGCCAAGGCTCTGGTTGCAGCTGCTTCTTCCTGGGGTTTATTATGGATCCCCATTAGTTCCTGCCAAGGCAGCAGCTACTCTTCCTGGGGTTTATTATGGATCCCCATTAGTTCCTGCCAAGGCAGCAGCTACTCTTCCTGGGGTTTATTATGGATCCCCATTAGTTCCTGCCAAGGCAGCAGCTACTCTTCCTGGGGGTTTATTATGGATCCCCATTAGTTCCTGCCAAGGCAGCAGCTACTCTTCCTGGGGTTTATTTGGATCCCCATAGTTCCTGCCAAGGCAGCAGCTACTCTTCCTGGGGTTATTATGGTCCCCCTTAGTTCTGCCAAGGCAAGCAGCTGCTCTTCTGGGTTTATTATGGATCCCCATTAGTTCCTGCCAAGGCAGCAGCTGCTCTTCCTGGGGGTTTATTATGGATCCCCATTAGTTCTGCCAAGGCCCAGCAGCTACTCTTCCTGGGGTTTATTATGGATCCCCATTAGTTCTGCCAAGGCAGCAGCTTGCTCTTCCTGGGGTTTATTATGGATCCCATTAGTTCCGCCAAGGCAGCAGCTGCTCTTCCTGGGGTTTATTATGGATCCCCATTAGTTCCTGCCAAGGCAGCAGCTACTCTTCCTGGGGTTTATTATGGATCCCCATTAGTTCCTGCCAAGGCAGCAGCTACTCTTCCTGGGGTTTATTAGGATCCCCATTAGTTCCTGCCAAGGCAGCAGGCTACTCTTCCTGGGGTTTATTATGGATCCCCATTAGTTCCCTGCCAAGGCAGCAAGCTACTCTTCCTGGGGTTTATTATGGATCCCATTAGTTCCTGCCAAGGCAGCAGCTACTCTTCCTGGGGTTTATTATGGATCCCCATTAGTTCCTGCCAAGGCAGCAGCTACTCTTCCTGGGTTTATTATGGATCCCCATTAGTTCCTGCCAAGGCAGCAGCTACTCTTCCTGGGGTTTATTATGGATCCCCATTAGTTCCTGCCAAGGCAGCAGCTACTCTTCCTGGGGTTTATTATGGATCCCCATTAGTTCCTGCCAAGGCAGCAGCTACTCTTCCTGGGGTTTATTATGGATCCCCATTAGTTCCTACCAAGGCAGCAGCTACTCTTCCTGGGGTCCAAACATATTAAAGCACTTACAGTACATATAAAACAAAAGATAAAACAGTACATCATATAACATTATTACACCACTACATATCTACAATTCAACATGTTTAATACCACCATACAACAATATCACAGTGTATGTGTATGTGTCTGTACCTTTTGTGTGTGTCTCTTCACAGTCCCCGTTGTTCCATGAGGTGTGTTTTTACCTGTTTAAAAAAAATCTGATTCTACTGCTTGCATCAGTTACCTGATGTGGAATAGAGTTCCATGTAGTCATGGCTCTATGTAGTACTGTGCGCCTCCCATAGTCTGTTCTGGACTTGGGGACTGTGAAGAGACCTCTGGTGGCATGTCTTGTGGGGTCTGTGTGTTAGATAAATGGTCATTCATTGATTTAATGAATAGATCATTGCTAATTTGCCTCTCTCTCCAGAACTGGCTGGACCCTAACAAGGAACTGAAGAAGCAGATAAGGAGTGAGTTGTCCGATAAATACGGCACTATACTATACTACACTACACTATACTACACTATACTACACTATACTACACTACAATATACTACACTACTCTATACTACACTACATCTATACTATACTACACTACATCTATACTACACTATACTATACTACACTACACTACACTACTCTATACTGCACTGCGGTTCAACCCTATCTTCTGTTCATGTACTAATAGCCCTGTTGAGTCATTAGCATGATGAAACACTTTAAGAGGCAACAACTGAACTTGATCGTGGTTGGACGTTGTGTAATTGTGCTGTTTCCCATGCTAGAATCAACACCTTGTAGGGGATTCACTGCTGTTCACCGGGCCTCTTTTTAAATCCCAGTTCATCTAGCAGATGTTTGCATTATATTCTGATTCTATGCTTTATTGTTCTGCAGCTGGCCCCTGGAACTTTGCCTTCAGCGTCAAGTTCTACCCCCCAGACCCTGCACAGCTGTCTGAAGACATTACCAGGTAAGCTGAATGGAGCGACTGCGTTCTCTAAGCCTCTGAAATACAGTATTTGCTATTTATGGTATAATACTGTCATACTGGCATCTCCCACTCTCACCTGGAATCTGTTTATTTCTATATAGTCGGTTGGGCTATAGAGAAGCAGATATATAGATATGATATTGTAATTCTCTATCTGTATAGAGATAGTATCTTTATACTATCTTTTATCGTCTGAGTCTAATGGTAGATATAGTCCTATCATTAGTTGACTGCTCTAGATCTCTCTGCGATCTATATCTATCTGCTATCGTATTCTTTTATACGATAGTATAATCTCATTTGATATTCTTCTATCGTGCTCGTCTTACATCTCCTATGATCTCTATAGTCTCTCTTCTACTGTCTTTCTCTCTCTATTCTGTCTGTCTCTTTTCTCCTTCTTCTCTTCTCCTCTATCTCTACTCCCATCATCTCTCTATCTTGTCTCTCTCCTTCTGTCTCTGTCTCTCTCTCTCTCTCTCTCCTCTCTGCCTCTCTCTCTCCATCCCCCCCTCCCCCCCCCCCCTCCCCCCCAGGGTACTACCTGTGTCTCCAGCTGCGTGATGACATGGTATCTGGTCGTCTCCCCTGTTCCTTTGCCACCCACACCTTACTGGGCTCCTACACGGTCCAGTCAGAGCTGGGGGACTACGACCCCGAGGAGACGGAGTACGACAGTGAGCTCCGCTTCGCTCCCAACCACACCAAGGAACTAGAGGACAAGGTCATGGACCTACACAAGAACTACAAGTATGTCCGGCTATAGATTATCTATAAATCGAGCTATCTATAAGTCTGTCTGTCTGTCTGGAGGACAAGGTCATGGACCTACACAAGAACTACAAATATGTCCGGCTATACGTTATAGATCCATACGTCTATCTGTCTGCCTGTGTCTGTACCCATTTTAGCTCATTCTCTGATAACTAGCATGTTCTTTATTATATAGTAATAGAGAACATCTCTGAACCCCATAGTTACAGGACAAGGAGTGTAATAGAGAACATCTCTGAACCCCATAGTTACAGGACACGGAGTGTAATAGAGAACATCTCTGAACCCCATAGTTACAGGACAAGGAGTGTAATAGAGAACATCTCAGAACCCCATAGTTACAGGACTAGGAGTGTAATAGAGAACATCTCTGAACCCCATAGTTACAGGACAAGGAGTGTAATAGAGAACAACTCTGAACCCCATAGTTACAGGACTAGGAGTGTAATAGAGAACATCTCTGAACCCCATAGTTACAGGACTAGGAGTGTAATAGAGAACATCTCTGAACCCCATAGTTACAGGACTAGGAGTGTAATAGAGAACATCTCTGAACCCCATAGTTACAGGACTAGGAGTGTAATAGAGAACATCTCTGAACCCCATAGTTACAGGACACGGAGCTCAGCCTCTACCTCTACTGATCTTATGCCTGATGTCTGTTTTCAGAGGGATGACGCCAGCTGAAGCAGAGTTGCACTTTCTGGAGAATGCCAAGAAACTGTCCATGTATGGGGTAGACCTCCATCACGCTAAGGTACACACACACACCACACACACACACACACACATACACTACACACACACACCTACCTACACCACACACACACCAAACACAGATACACACAAACACACCGAACACACACGCCTACATACACATACACACCCACATACCCACACACTTACATATACCACACACACACACACATACATACACTACACACACACACCTACCTACACCACACACACACCAAACACAGATACACACAAACACACCGAACACACACGCCTACATACACATACACACCCACATACCCACACACTTACATATACCACACACACACACCATACACACACTGTCACACACACACACACACACACACACACACACACACACACACACACATACACATGTGAATTAAATCCTCTGAGCTATAATATATCTCCCCATATTACAGTGTACATGGGAAAGTTCTGTTTTCACTTCACTGCTTTTGTCAGAGGCACTCTGCTAATCCTTCCAATGCACCGCTGCTGTCTCAGTGACGTCAGTACCATGCTTAACACCAACACTGGGCTGTTACTTCAAATGTCTGGATGTGCTGGGCAGCCAACTGCCACTGCTCTAGCTGGACTGCTGACTGACTGTTCCCATCTCTGCTAGCTTCACTGTCTCCATGAGGCTCTGCCTTAGCAGGACTGCTGACTGACTGTTACCATCTCTGCTAGCTTCACTGTCTCCATGAGGCTCTGCCTTAGCAGGACTGCTGACTGACTGTTCCCATCTCTGCTAGCTTCACTGTCTCCATGAGGCTCTGCCTTAGCAGGACTGCTGACTGACCGTTACCATCTCTGCTAGCTTCACTGATTCCATGAGGCTCTGCCTTAGCAGGACTGCTGACTGACTGTTACCATCTCTGCTAGCTTCACTGTCTCCATGAGGCTCTGCTCTAGCTGGACTGCTGACTGACCGTTACCATCTCTGCTAGCTTCACTGTCTCCATGAGGCTCTGCCTTAGCAGGACTGCTGACTGACCGTTACCATCTCTGCTAGCTTCACTGATTCCATGAGGCTCTGCCTTAGCAGGACTGCTGACTGACCGTTACCATCTCTGCTAGCTTCACTGACTCCATGAGGCTCTGCCTTGGATTGGCCTGACTTGGCTCCCTTGAGGAGATTCTGTAGGATAATCTCCTCTGTCTTAATGACGTGTTTGATTTGATTAATCTCATTGGGCAGACAGACCGCTGGAGAGAGAGAGACAGTCAGATAGATAGTCAGACAGGCAGACAAAGAGACGGACAGACAGACAGACTGATTTAGAGAGAGACAGACAGATGGAGAGACAGACAGACAGACAGACAGACAGACAGACAGACAGACTGATGTAGGGAGAGACAGACTGAGAGACAGAGAGTGACAGACAGACAGATAGAGAGACAGACAGACAGACGGAGAGAGACAGATAGAGAGAGACAGACAGACAGACAGACAGACAGACAGACAGACAGACAGACAGACAGACAGACAGACAGACAGACAGACAGACGGAGAGAGACAGACAGACAGATAGAGACAGACAGACAGATAGAGACAGACAGACAGACAGATAGAGACAGACGGATAGAGACAGACAGACAGACAGACAGACCAGGCCAGCAGCAGCAGATTACCAGGATAACACACCACTCATTTCAACACATTGAAACCGTCACTGTTAATCCCGATGGCAGATACTGTCTGTTATCACAAGCACTTTGAACAGTGAAATTATCCCATCTAGGTGAGACCGATAAAGATGATGGTCCGTTCAAAGAGTCAACGAAGGAGGAATGAGGTTGCCTAGTGCACTTTGAATACAGATTTGTTTAGTCGATAATATTCCATTTGACTAGTTGAATCAGATCAGAGTCAGCATTTGTTGTGTTCTCTCTCCTCTCATTAAACCACCTGGCTAGTTGGTAGGAAGCCTGTTTGAGTGTTTGGCTGCAGCGAAAGGGGAGGTAAGAGGCTGCTGCATCGTGTGGTGTGTTTCTGTGTTTGTTTAATGCACGGCTTAGCGGTCATCATGCTAGCTTGTGGCTTGTTTTACCCATCATCACTCTCCATTGCTAAGTGGAACGTAATGTTTCCCACTTTCCTCCTCAGACCCTAGACACACCCCCTCCCTTACATCATGTAGAGTAGGAGATGCCCGTTATCCTCCTGGCTGACTGTCCATAGCCATTTACCATCAGAACCCTTGCCAATGCTTGTCCCATACTGGACCATTCCTCCCTCCACAGCTGTAGTGTGTGGAGAAGAATCACTGTCTTCCTGACGTTGTGATTCTGTGAATATTTTCTATGACTCCTTTGTGAAGTGGTTTTGATGGCGTACTGGAACTCATTCATTGTATACTAATCGGGTGCGTTGCAGGACTCTGAAGGCATAGAGATCATGCTAGGAGTGTGCTCCAGTGGTCTCCTCATCTACAGAGACCGACTGAGAATCAACCGCTTCGCCTGGCCCAAGGTCCTCAAGATCTCCTACAAGAGAAACAACTTCTACATCAAGATACGCCCCGGAGAGGTAAACACACCAACAACAACAACAACAACAACTGTGTATCTGTTACAAACCGGGTCAGGAGTTTTACCATGTGACCTGACCAGGAGAAACTATGGCCTGGGGCCTAGTCAGACTACCCTATGGCCTGGGGCCTAGTCAGACTACTCTATGGCCTGGGGCCTAGTCAGACTACCCTATGGCCTGGGGCCTAGACAGACTACTCTATGGCCTGGGGCCTAGTCAGACTACTCTATGGCCTGGGGCCTAGTCAGGCTACTCTATGGCCTGGGGCCTAGTCAGACTACCCTGGGGCCTAGTCAGACTACTCTATGGCCTGGGGCCTAGTCAGACTACCCTGGGGCCTAGTCAGACTACCCTATGGCCTGGGGCCTAGTCAGACTACTCTATGGCCTGGGGCCTAGTCAGACTACCCTGGGGCCTAGTCAGACTACCCTATGGCCTGGGGCCTAGTCAGACTACTCTATGGCCTGGGGCCTAGTCAGACTACTCTATGGCCTGGGGCCTAGTCAGACTACCCTGGGGCCTAGTCAGACTACTCTATGGCCTGGGGCCTAGTCAGACTACCCTGGGGCCTAGTCAGGCTACTCTATGGCCTGGGGCCTAGTCAGACTACCCTGTGGCCTGGGGCCTAGTCAGACTACTCTATGGCCTGGGGCCTAGTCAGGCTACTCTATGGCCTGGGGCCTAGTCAGACTACCCTGGGGCCTAGTCAGACTACTCTATGGCCTGGGGCCTAGTCAGACTACCCTGGGGCCTAGTCAGACTACCCTGTGGCCTGGGGCCTAGTCAGACTACTCTATGGCCTGGGGCCTAGTCAGACTACCCTATGGCCTGGGGCCTAGTCAGACTACCCTATGGCCTGGGGCCTAGACAGACTACTCTATGGGCTGGGGCCTAGTCAGACTACCCTGTGGCCTGGGGCCTAGTCAGACTACCCTGTGGCCTGGGGCCTAGTCAGACTACTCTATGGCCTGGGGCCTAGTCAGACTACCCTATGGCCTGGGGCCTAGTCAGACTACTCTATGGCCTGGGGCCTAGTCAGACTACCCTGGGGCCTAGTCAGACTACCCTGGGGCCTAGTCAGACTACCCTGGGGCCTAGTCAGACTACTCTATGGCCTGGGGCCTAGTCAGACTACTCTATGGCCTGGGGCCTAGTCAGACTACCCTGGGGCCTAGTCAGACTACTCTATGGCCTGGGGCCTAGTCAGACTACCCTGTGGCCTGGGGTCTAGACTACTATATATTTAAGGACAGGAATTGCTTCTGTTCTGACATGATCACCACCTCTCTCTCTTTTGAGACACTTGTAACATCAATATCTCTTCCTCTTGCAGTTTGAGCAGTTTGAGAGCACGATTGGCTTCAAGCTCCCCAACCACCGTGCAGCCAAGAGACTGTGGAAGACCTGTGTTGAGCACCACACGTTCTTCAGGTAAGAGATGCACTATGTTTTGTAGCCTGTCCCTGTAGTATAATATATACAGTGCCTTCAGACAGTATTCATACTCTTTGACTTATTCCACATTTTGTTGTTACAGCCTAAATTCAAAATGTATTAAATATTTATTTTTTTCTCACCCATCTACACACAGTACCTCATAATGACAAAGTGAAAACATGTTTGTAGAAATTTCAGCAAATTCATTGAAAACTAAATGCAGAATTATCAAATGTACATAAGTATTCACACCCCTGAGTCAATGTTAGAATCACCTTTTGGCAGCAATTACAGCTGTGAGTCTTTTAAGAGCTTTCCACACCTGGACTGTACAATATTTGCACATTATTCTTTAAAAAATTCGTCAAGCTCTATCATGTTGGTTGTTGATCATTGCTAGACAACCATTTTCAGGTCTTGCCATAGATTTTCAAGCCGATTTAAGTGAAAACTGTAACTAGGCCACTCCGGAACATTCAACGTTGTCTTGGTAAGCAACTCCAGTGTAGATTTGGCCTTGTGTTTTAGAATATTATCCTGCTGAAAGGTTAATTCGTCTCCCAGTGTCTGGTGGAAAGCAGACTGAACCAGGTTCTCCTCTAGGATTTTGCCGGTGCTTAGCTGTATTCTATTTCTTTTTATCCTAAAAAAACTCCCCTAGTCCTTGCCGATGACAAGCATACCCATAACCTGATGCAGCCACCACCATGCTTGAAAATATGAAGGGTGGTACTCAGTGATGTGTTGTCTTGGATTTGCCCCAAACGTAACGCTTTGTATTCAGGACAAAAAGTTCATTTCTTTGCCACATTTTTTGCAGTTTTACTTTTGTGCCTTATTACAAACAGGATGCATGTTTTGGAATATTTTTATTCTGTACAGGCTTCCTTCTTTTCACTCTGTCATTTAGGTTAGTATTGTGGAGTAACTACAATGTTGTTGATCCATCCTCAGTTTTTTCCTATCACAGCCATTCAACTCTGTAACTGTTTTAAAGTCACCATTGGCCTCATGGTGAAATCCCTGAGGGGTTTCCTTCCTCTCCGTCAACTGAGTTAGGAAGGACGCCTGTATCTTTTGTAGTGACTGGGTGTATTGATACTAGGGCTGTCCCCGACTAAAGTTGTATGTTTATTCGACCAATCGATTGCTCAACATTTTTTAAGTTGTATATTTTTCCATATATAGCCACACCCTATGTGTTTTAATAAAATCAACTATATGTATTGAGCTTGTCTGATGCTTTAAGCTTACGGTTTGATGCCTCAAGAGGGCGTCAGAGATCTAGATAACCAGAAGAAAACAAACACTAACCTGACCCAACTATTCTCCTCCCGCTTTCGCAGATTCTGCCATTACTCTCCTGAAGATGCCGGTAATAGGCAACCTTTCTCATGTGGACGTGGCCAATTTGTATTACCATTTCTACCGATCTGCCTGCCAGTTATGGTTTTCATATGCACATTTTCGTGAAACAGTGTCATTTAATTTTTAATAACGTCTTCATATCTCAAAATCATTGTCATGTGGTTAATCAAAATTCTATCCAAATCTAAATGAAAATGATACAAATCTAAAAGTAACTTCTATTGCCATTATCAACTATGTAAAAATAGCCTACATAAAGCCAGCAAATAAAAACATTGCCGCCTGCAGGTAGAAAATATCCTGATAAAAATAAATATCCTATAAATCACATTGGCTACACATGGCTTGTCAGCAAGGAACTGGAAACATTGTATCAACTATTAACTTGGGTCAGCCTGAAGCTCCTTGAAACATTGTATCAACTATTAACTTGGGTCAGCCTGAAGCTCCTTGCAACATTGTATAAAATATTCTGGGCCCTCAGTTTCCTGCACCAGTGAGCTCAGGACAGACACAGCTGTAGGCTATTTGGGCAAGGGATAAGAAACAGGGCTTGACTTGGGCAGCAGCTCACCGGAGCTGAGTATTTACATTTTAGTCATTTAGCAGACGCTCTTATCCAGAGCGACTTACAGTTAGTGAATACATTCTTTTTTTATTTTCCATACTGGCCCCCGTGGGAATCGAACCCACAACCCTGGCGTTGCAAACGCCATGCTCTACCAACTGAGCTACATCCCTGCCGGCCATTCCCTCCCCTACCCTGGACGACGCTGGGCCAATTGTGCGCCGCCCCATGGGTCTCCCGGTCGCGGCCGGCTACAACAGAGCCTGGATTCGAACCAGGATCTCTAGTGGCACAGCTAGCACTGCTATGCAGTGCCTTAGACCACTGTGCCACTCGAGTACCGGCACCTCACATTTTCTACAGCTTGAGCTCCTGTTCCTCTTATAGAATATTAGCTCATAAGTATTGTGGAGCTCCTGCACCTAAATATAAACAGTACCAGCCCCCAAAATGAGAACCGGAACCTATTTCAGTCCAAGGCTACCACTGATAATCAGGTAGGCCTATTTTATGACGTTTCCACTGGATCAGATCATTACATTTTTCATTTTCACGCTGAGTGGTTATTGAAAGGGAGAGAGCTGGAAAGATTTTTCGAAAACATTGAGGAACTATTGTAATTATCAATGGATGTAAAAACAGACTTTGTTTGCTTGCTGTTTTGAGGTGAAGAAAACAACATTACTTTGAGAAGCTCCACAGGTCATTAGTGGTGGTGCGTTAAGGGTTTTTCTTTATTTTTACTATTTTCTACATTGTAGAATAATAGTGAAGACATCAAAAGTATGAAATAACACATATGGAATCATGTAGAAACCAAAAAAGTGTTAAACAAATCAAAATATATTTTATATTTGAGATTCTTCAAATAGCCACCCTTTGCCTTGATGACAGCTTTGCACACTCTTGGCATTCTCTCAACCAGCTTCACCTGGAATCCTTTTCCAACAGTTTTGAAGGAGTTCCCACATATGCTGAGCACTTGTTGGCTGCTTTTCCTTCACTCTGCCGTCCGACTCATCCCAAACCATCTCAATTGGATTGAGGTCGTGGGATTTTGGAGGCCAGGTCATCTGATGCAGCACTCATCACTTTCCTTCTTGGTAAAATAGCCCTTACACAGCCTGGAGGTGTGTTGGGTCATTGTCCTGTTGAAAAACAAATGATAGTCCCACTAAGCCCAAACCAGATGGGATGGCATATCGCTGCAGAATGCTGTGGTAGCCATGCTGGTTAAGTGTGCCTTGAATTCTAAATAAACCACAGACCGTGTCACCAGCAAAGCACCCCCACACCATAACACCTCCTCCTCCATGCTTCACGGTGGGAAATACACATGCAGAGATTGTCCGTTCACCCACACCGCGTCTAACAAAGACATGGCGGTTGGAACCAAAAATCTCAAATTTGGACTCCAGACCAAAGGACTAATTTCCACCGGTCTAATGTCCATTGCTTGTGTTTCTTGGCTCAAGCAGGTCTCTTCTTATTGGTGTCCTTTAGTAGTGGTTTCTTTGCAGCAATTCGACCATGAAGGCCTGATTCACTCATTCCCCTCTGAGCAGTTGATGTTGAGATGTGTCTGTGACTTGAACTCTGTGAAGCATTTATTTGGGCTGCAATTTCTGAGGCTGGTAACTCTAATGAACTTATCCTCTGCAGCAGAGGTAACTCTGGGTCTTCCATTCCTGTGGCGGTCCTCATGAGAGCCAGTTTCATCATAGCACTTGATGGTTTTTGCGACTGCACTTGAAGAAACTTTAAAAGTTATTGAAATGTTCTGTATTGACTGACCTTCATGTCTTAAAGTAATGATGGACTGTCGTTTCTCTTTGCTTATTTGAGCTGTTCTTGCCATAATATGGACTTGGTCTTTTACCAAATAGGGCTATCTTCTGTATATCACCCCTACCTTGTCACAACACAACTGATTGGCTCAAATGCATTAAGAAGGAAAGAAATTCCACAAATTAACTTTTAAGAAGGCACACCTGTTAATTGAAATGCATTCCAGGTGACTACCTCATGAAGCTGGTTGAGAGAATGCCAAGAGTGTGCAAAGCTGTCATGAAGGCAAAGGGTGGCTATTTGAAGAATCTCAAATATAGAATGTATTTTGATTTGTTTAACACTTTTTTGGTTACTACATGATTCCACATGTGTTATTTCATAGTTTTGATGTCTTCACTATTATTCTACAATGTAGAAAATAGTAAAAATAAAGAAAAACCCTTGAATGAGTAGGTGTGTCCAAACGTTTGACTGGTAGTGTATATCACCAGTAGTACATTTTATATGTATATGCCTTCATTTGCGCACAGGCCAGGCAACCTATAGGCCTACTTCTATGCGTGCGCGTCCTTATTCAGCATTGACAGGAGCGCTCCAAAGAAAAGACAATGACTAAACTGACAAAACTCATTAACGGAATGAAATAAACCAAAACTTGTTTCTCACAAGTGTAGCATAAGTTGTGCGCTCTGCAAACAGTGTGTCCACTCAGACAATGAGAACGGGAAGACTGGAATAACAATATTGAATGCATTAAAATAAATGACCGTAACTAAAGTAACAAACATTGTAGATTAGGAATTAATGGTAAATGTACTACTGGTGATATATGTAATGGGGAATTGATATACACTAACAATCAAATGCGAACAATTCACACAAATAAGTTATGAAATAATACATGTGCACAAATTGGCAGGAGAGAGCGCATTCTGGAGAGGGAAGTGCATTGTGCATCCTGGGTGCATGGGTAATCTGAGGTCTGCATTGGGCCGTGCAGCACGGTGATGTGACCTCTGCAGAAGTCAGGGCATTCATACTTCTTGCTCTTCACAGAGCAGTGCAGAGCTGTTGTTAAGGAAGTGAGGTTGTGTTTTATACAGGATGTACCGCCCCCACCTACCGTCAAACAATCATGTCAATGCGGAGCTATACAGAGCCCTCCGCATTGTTACAACATTTGGGAGGTGCACGGTGATGCGGTACAGAGATCCATTTGGCCTCTGCATGCCTCTGGAGTTCATATGGAGCCTCCAACCACATTTTCAGGTCAAGCATAAATTGGCTTTTAGTCTAGGCCTCTGCAATGGATTAGTTCACTGAGATGGGGGTATATATATATATATATTTGTTACTGCTCGACTAAAACCATCTTGGTCGACCAACAGCCTAACGACCAAACAATCGACCAGTCGACTAATTGGGGTCAGCCCTAATTGATACACCATCCAAAGTGTAATTAATAACTTCATCATGCTTAAAGGGATATTCAATGTCTGCTTTTAACTTTTTTTAAACCCATCTACCAATAGGTGCCCTTCTTTGCGAGGCATTGGAAAACCTCCCTGGTCTTTGTGGTTGAATCTGTATTTGAAATTCACTGCTCGACTGAGGGACCTTACCGATTTTATTGTATGTGTGGGGTACAGAGATGAGTTAGTCATTCAAAAATCATGTTGAACACTGTTATTGCACACAGAGTGAGTCCATGCAACTTATTATGTGAATTCTTAAGCACATTTTTACTCCTGAACTTATTTATGCTTGCCATAACAAAGGGGTTGAATACTTATTGACTCAAGACATTTCAGCTTTTCATTTCTAATTAATTAGTAAAAATGTCTAAAAACCTAATTCCACTTTGACATTATGGGGTGTAGGGGTGTGTAGGCCAGTGACACAAAATCTCAATTTAATCCATTTTAAATTCAGGCTGTAACACAACAAAATGCGGAAAAAGTCAAGGTTAAGGGGTGTGAATACTTTCTGAAGGCACTGTAACACAGCAGAAAATTATATAAAATGAAAAGCTATCATAGTCAGATCGTTACTGTAAAATGTAACAAGCGTAGTGATTTAATCTCCAGATATATAGGGTTGATTTATCCCCTAAGAACACAGCCGAAAGTATGCACATTAAAGGCTATCAAATCAGGTTAAGTGTCTTTGAGATTATCTGTATGCTGAAAAGCGCTATGTACTGTAAATTAAATGTATTATTATTGTAAAATATACGGTTGTTTTTTTAATCACATAATGGTTTAATTCATCCTAACTTTTTCCTCCTCTGTCAGACTGGTGTCTCCAGAGGCCCCGCCTAAGAAGTTCCTAGGTCTTGGTTCTAAGTTCCGCTACAGCGGGAGAACCCAGGCTCAGACCCGGAGAGTCTCCTCTCAGATCATCAGGGCCGCGCCCATCTTCGAACGCTCCTCCTCCAAACGCTACACCATGTCACGCAGCCTGGACGGAGGTAAGGGCTACTTATTCATTGACTATGTTCAAATGTTCACAACGCCCAATGCATTACCTCATCCTAAGCAGTGTACTGGTATGCTAGTGTGGACATTGAAATAGTCTCTAACTCACTATTTTGCTTACCATCTGTCCCCAAGTCTTTTTTTGAACACCCAACACCTATTGATTCACTGAGGGCAAAGGGGGGGCTATCCATAGATGGTTAAAAACAATCATAGGCTACCTCAGTCTAGTCTTGGAGTCTGTGTTTAAGTAAGACTAAGTTGCTTCTAGACGCCGATCTGAGGCCAGTTTTGAGTTTTACCCCCACTAATGTAAAAGGGGCAATGTGCAGCTCAAACAACAGCAAAACGGTCACCCCGCCATTTTGGTTTATCTTATGTTAAGGTTAAGATTTTGGGACAGTAAGCTGATCCTAGATCAGTTCTTAAGGTCATGACTTACCTGAGGATGTACCACACAGAGAACTATTGTTTTGGTGTCCTCTGGTGACTAACAATACCCCCCCTCACCGTCCCTCCTCACAGCACCCGTAACGGAGAACCACGACACCCTGATGAGGGACGCCACGCCCGCCAAAGCTGACGCCGCGGGAGACCTGATCACCACGGTAACGCTGGAGAAGAAGGCAGAGGAGGAGGAGGAGGAGAAGGCTGAGGAAGAGGAGGGACAGATCAACGCTACAGAGACGTCAGACCGTAATGTCCCCTCAACCGCCCTCAGACACGACAACAAGGTAAACATCTTCCTTCCTCCTCCTCCTCCTCTTCCTCATATTAGCCAATCAGGTTAGTCCTGGAAGTTTGGTTTTGTATTAAACAGTGCCATTAGCAGAGTACCAATATGATTGATCCAGGGTTAAGCAGTTTGGTCACAGTCAACTTTTGAGTTGGATGAAGCTACAAGCTGAAAAACATTGCCCTATGAACTGTAATGGCTCCTTGCTCTGAGTAAAGGCAACAGCGGCCTTATCAGTAGCAGTTCTACGTGAAGACAAAGCAATATCAATGACTTAGCCAGCTGACTCGAATAAATATTCAGATTTTTTTTTTTTGAAAGGTAAGCTTGAAAAGGTCATGGTCTAATTGACTCAAAAACCAAAAACACATCTAAGTTTAGCTTTAGTTAATAGTTATCAAATCAATAGTTATTTCTGGTTGTTTATCAAACTTAGCTGGCTAGTTCATTGATCCTGCTTTGTAGTATAACCCCCCCTGTTTAGCCTGTAAATAACTCTAGATTGACGGAATCCTAAACAGCTATCTATCTGTGGACATTAGATTGTCTTACTCCCTGGTGTTGCTTTAACACTGTCAGTACTGTCAAAGGACATTACAGCTTTATCACTGTCAGTACTGTTAAAGGACATTACAGCTTTATCACTGTCAGTACTGTTAAAGGACATTACAGCTTTATCACTGTCAGTACTGTCAAAGGACATTACAGCTTTATCACTGTCAGTACTGTCAAAGGACATTACAACAGCTTTATCACTGTCAGTACTGTTAAAGGACATTACAGCTTTATCACTGTCAGTACTGTTAAAGGACATTACAGCTTTATCACTGTCAGTACTGTTAAAGGACATTACAGCTTTATCACTGTCAGTACTGTCAAAGGACGTTACAACAGCTTTATCACTGTCAGTACTGTCAAAGGACATTACAGCTTTATCACTGTCAGTACTGTCAAAGGACGTTACAACAGCTTTATCACTGTCAGTACTGTTAAAGGACATTACAGCTTTATCACTGTCAGTACTGTCAAAGGACATTACAGCTTTATCACTGTCAGTACTGTCAAAGGACATTACAACAGCTTTATCACTGTCAGTACTGTTAAAGGACATTACAGCTTTATCACTGTCAGTACTGTTAAAGGACATTACAGCTTTATCACTGTCAGTACTGTTAAAGGACATTACAGCTTTATCACTGTCAGTACTGTCAAAGGACGTTACAACAGCTTTATCACTGTCAGTACTGTCAAAGGACATTACAGCTTTATCACTGTCAGTACTGTCAAAGGACGTTACAACAGCTTTATCACTGTCAGTACTGTCAAAGGACATTACAGCTTTATCACTGTCAGTACTGTTAAAGGACGTTACAGCAGCTTTATCACTGTCAGTACTGTTAAAGGACATTACAGCTTTAACACTGTCAGTACTGTTAAAGGACATTACAGCTTTATCACTGTCAGTACTGTCAAAGGAGTCAGTACTGTTAAAGGAGTCAGTACTGTTAAAGGAGTCAGTACTGTTAAAGGACGTTACAGCTTTATCACTGTCAAAGGATGTTACAAAGGTACAAAGTACGATAAGATTCTTTACACCCCATGCCTAGATTAACCTCTTGTTTAAAGTGTTTTACTAAACAGGTAAGGAGTGTCATTTCCTTATTTTTCTACATGGTCAGAGTATAGGGTGTTCACCCATAAAAGGATTAGTTCATTCAAGGTTTGTACAAACATGTCCATTCAATAGAACATTCCGTCAGGAAAAACAATAGTCCAAACCCCATGTCTCTACCATAAATGGTTAAAAAGTTGCAGACGTACTCTGAGAATGGAGCGTGTTCAGAGTGAATGGAATGTCACCACAGGTCACGTGATCAACGAGTGGTCACTGCTCTCTAGAAGTCTGTGGCGCCGCTCTGCGGCAGAACGGCGCCAACTTCCAACGTCAACTGACAAGCTAACTTACTAGCGGCTGAAGGCTTGTGAGTGAAAACGTGGGCTTTTTCTAAATGAAATCCGCTGAATACAAAAATAAATAGGGACTAAATATATACTGAACACAAAGATAAACGCAACATGTAGAGTGTTGGTCCCATGTTTCATGAGCTAAAAAGAAAGATCCCAGAAATTTTCCATATGCACAAAAAACGTATTTCTCTGAAATGTTGTACACAAATTTGTTTACATCCCTGTTAGTGAGCATTTCTTCTTTGCCAAGATAATCCATCCACCTGACAGCTGTGGCATATCAAGAAGCTGATTAAACAGTATGATCATTACACAGGTGCACCTTGTGCTGGGGACAATAAAGGGCCTCTCTAAAATGAGCAGTGTTGTCACACAACATGGTGCCACTGATGTCTCAAGTTTTGAGGGAGCGTGCAATTGGCATGCTGACTGCAGGAATGTCCAACATAACTGTTGCCAGAGAATTTAATGTTCATTTCTCTACCATAAGCCGCCTCCAACGATATCTTTGAGAATTTGGCAGTACGTCCAACCGGCCTCACAACCGCAGACCACGTCAGCCCAGGACCTCCACATCCAGCTTCTTCACCTGCGGGATCGTCTGAGGAGGGGGGGTCTTTTTGTCTGTAATAAAGCCCTTTTGTGGGAAAAAAACGTATTCTGATTGGCTGGGCCTGGCTCTCCAGTGGGTGGGCCTGGCTCTCCAGTGGGTGGGCCTGGCTCTCCAGTGGCTGGGCCTGGCTCTCCAGTGGGTGGGCCTGGCTCTCCAGTGGCTGGGCCTGGCTCTCCAGTGGGTGGGCCTGGCTCTCCAGTGGGTGGGCCTGGCTCTCCAGTGGGTGGGCCTGGCTCTCCAGTGGCTGGGCCTGGCTCTCCAGTGGGTGGGCCTGGCTCTCCAGTGGCTGGGCCTGGCTCTCCAGTGGGTGGGCCTGGCTCTCCAGTGGCTGGGCCTGGCTCTCCAGTGGGTGGGCCTGGCTCTCCAGTGGCTGGGCCTGGCTCTCCAGTGGGTGGGCCTATAAACTCCCAGGCCCACCCATGGCTGCTCCCCTGCCCCGTCATGTGAAATCCATAGATTGATTGATTTCCTTATATGAACTATAACTCAGTAAAATCTTTGAAGTTGTTGCGTTTTATTTTGTTCAGTATATATTTATTTACAAAGCTAACAGACTACATTTCAATATCCACCCTCCGCGAAGACCGTCTGTTCCTGTTTTCATTGTGTATTTCGGAGTCTTTCCCTTTTAAATCGCCATAGAAAGTGTCCCTCTTAACGTAGATTGATTGCCAATATAGGCAATGAAAGCCAAGGATCTGGAGGTGAACATGACGAAGGTATCAAATGTATCTTGATTTGGAGGTGATTCCAGCGGAAACCTCACAACACCAAATATGGAAGAGCTACAACCAAGAGCGGTGCAGTCCTGAACTAGCAACGGTCACAGCAAATGAACGTTGTTATTTAATCAACACTGTCAAGTCTATTAAGGTGATAATATTGTAGAAGAACTATCTAATGATTCATTCTATGTAATTTATAATGACGTAGGGCAGGGTTCTTCAATTCCGGTCCTGGAGGGCCGAAAAACTTCTGTTTTTTATTTCTACCTGGTAGTTAATTGCACTCACCTGGTGTCCCAGGTCTGAATTAGCCCCTGATTAGAAGTAAAGGATCAAAAACGGAGGTGTTTCGGCCCTCCAGGACCGGAATTGAAGAACCCTGACGTAGGGCAAAGAAAACTAGATTTTGACATTAATTTCGTAGCACCCTCTTGAATTGCCCAGTTTTTCTCTAACGTTGTACAGCAGTGAGTGAACGTCCTGCAGAGTGTGACTTGGCCGTAATTATTGATTTCCCAGATGCTTCCGGCTTATTTTACCCACTGCTGTACTAGAACTGACTGCCTCTTGTCTAATTCGCTTGTCTTTTCTCCTCCCACCTGTATCATTCTACTCACCATCCATACCACCTCCCCTCCCCGCTCCCTCCATCAGCGCTCCCCATGTCTGTACTCTTCTGACCCCCTCCGCTCTGAGCTCTCCCTCCCCTCCTCCCCCGTGGCCTCCACTAAGGTCCGTCGGCGGCGCAGGGAGAACGCGTCACGTAAACGCTGTGCCTCTGTCAGCCCGGCTAAATCCTCGGCGGGGTGCCGTCGGCGCCAGGCCAAAGCGGACCGCGCCGCCGCCCTCCTAGAGGAGCAGGTGTTACTCCTGTCGGCCCGCAAACAGCGTCTAGAACAGCTGAAGGCCCACAGGAGGCGGGGCGGCACTCTGTTCTCCTTCTCCCTGCACCTCCCCGACCTCTCTTCCTACCTGGACGAGGACGGTTACCTCACCTTCCCCGACATCACGGAGCTCACCTTCCTCCCTGAGAGCGTGCAGCACTTCCGGCCCTTCAGGTCACCCTCTCTCATCCCCTGCTTCCTCTTCATCTTCTTCTTCCTCCTGTCCACGTCGTTCTCGGTGCCGTACGCCCTCACGCTGTCCTTCCCGCTGGCGCTGTGCCTGTGCTACCTGGAGCCCAAGGCGGCTTCCCTCACCGCCTCCATCGCTCAGGGCCTGCATCACCATGACAGTTGTTCAGAGGAAGAGGAAGAGGTGTGTGTGTGTGTGTGTGTGTCCTATTTACAGTAGGCCTTAAACGATACTACTCCATTAAGGTCACATAATAGTGATATTGTGCTCCTGTCCAGTCCAGACTTGGGGTACATCCAAAATGGCACTCTGTCCCCCGATGTGGGATCTGATCAAAAGTAGTGCACTATATAGGGAATAAGGTGCCATTTTCAGATGACTTTGTCTGTCAGTGTTCCTACTTTCAGAACCTCGTGTCTGCTTCGTCACTTCCTCATTAGATGACATCATCATGACATCACCATCACATGATCAACATAATATCTTTATGCGTACAGAGATGTTTCATGCAAGTTCCTATAGCACAATTTTTCCTGTTGGGTGGCTTTTAATAATGTAAACTTCTAATAATGGCAACTCACCTGTACTTTTGGCATGATAGCTCATTTACCACAGCAGGACCTTTTCAGTTTGAGGGTCGCTTTAGGGTAAAGCATGTTGCTTTATGGGTAACCCATCTCAGTCGCGTCACCTCGCGTCATCTGGCTGCTTTAGATTAGACGCATACAGACATTGGTCCATTCATTCACCCAGTCAGTCTCTCTGCATTGCCTCTAGCTAGATGACACATCACAGTGAAACATTTGTATTGCAGTAGCGTTTAGCGGGACCATCCTTTACAGCTATCATGATGCAAGCATCTGATGCTTAACACTTAACACTGAGTCCCATATGGATCCAGTTTCACTGCTGTTTATACAGTATGGATTGGAGTCCCATATGGATCCAGTTTCACTGCTGTTTATACAGTATGGACTGGAGTCCCATATAGATCCAGTTTCACTGCTGTTTATACAGTATGGATTGGAGTCCCATATGGATCCAGTTTCACTGCTGTTTATACAGTATGGATTGGAGTCCCATATGGATCCAGTTTCACTAATACAGAAAGACTGATAAATCACCTCCATACCCACTACATCCCTATAGAATCATCATCTTGCACATTGGATGGTAAGTGATGGAGGCCTGAAAGTCTGATTACTGTTTAACACCAGGTCAATTGAAGGCTTTGAAGGAGAAAAAAGGAATAGTTTGTTTTATAAATGGTAGACTTACCCAGCTAACTTATGGGCTTAAATAAATCAAACTGGAACAAAGTATTTATTTCCTAATCAAATGGAGCAAAACGTATATACTAACATAATTATTGAATTTGAACGAGTGGCCTTAAACCGTAAGGTTAACATTTCCTCTGAGTCTGTTTGCAATGCTTGCTTTCTTCTGTTGCTTTTTTCTTCTTTGCCTTAGCCTTGTTTTAGCGACTGTAGTGTTTTTGCTTTTAAAGCAACCTTTTGTTCATTTCCCAATGCTGCACCACCATACTCTCCATTTGTGATCATTACTGTTAAGAAGGAATATTCAACGTTTGTGTCCAGAGTTTGAACTGGTTCTCTCTCATTCCCTGCTTTCCGATCGGAACGGTTTCCGCTGGCTGTTTTACATGACAGACGGACAGCGAGCAAACTGACTTTGCCTTCGACGGGGAAAGCACGGTCACTGAGGTACATTCAGGAGGAGATCCCCACCCTGGAGTCTGAAAGCATGGAAGACTCCAAGTGGAACCGTCATTGAGGGCGGGGGAAAGAATGTCTTAATAGATGCTGTTTATTGTCAGTATTTACGATGGTTGAATTCTTTGGGGATGCTTGCTGTTCAGTGGATTTGTCTGAAGCCAGATATATTTGTGGGTGTTAAGTGTGCATGCTATTAGTATATATATGTCAAGGACTTTATCTCAGGTTTCCTGATTCTGTACTGTCTCTCTCTCGCTCATCTCTCTCTTATCTCTCTCTCTCTCGCTCATCTCTCTCTCCCATATACTCTCTATTCCTATCTCTCTCTATACACAATATCTATCTCTATCTTCTATATCTCTATCTCTCTCTCTCTCTCTCTAATATCTCTCTCTCTATCTCTCTCTTTATCTCTCTCTATCTCTCTATCCTCTCTCTCTCTCTCTCTTACTCATATATTGTCTCTATCCTCTGTATATCTGTCTCTTATCGGTCTCTCCCCCCCCCCCCCTCTCCTCTCTCTCGGTCTCTCTCTCTCTCTCTACTCTGTCTCTCTGCTCTGTCTTCTCTTGTTCTCTCTCTGTCTCTCCTCTCTGTCCTCTCTCCGTCTCTCTCTCCTCTCTCTCGGTCTCTCTCTCTCTCTCTCCTCTGTCTCTCTCTCTGTCTCTCTCTCTGTCTCTCTCTCTGTCTCTCTCCCCTCTGTCTGTCTCTCTCTCTCCCCTCTCTCCTCTCTCTCTCTGTCTCTCTGTCTCTCTCTCTCTCTGTCTGTCTCTCTCCCCCTCTCTCTCTCTCCTATCTCTCACCCAGACCCCCCCCCCCCTCTCTCTCCCCTCTTCTCGCTCTCGTCTCTCTCTCTCTCTCTCGTCCCTCTCTCCTCTCCTCTCTCTTCTCATTCCAAATTCCCTCCCTCCCTCATCCCCCCCCCTCCCCTCCCCCCTCCATCCCTCCCCCTCCATCCCTCTCTCTGTTTCCTCCTTTTTCCTCCTCCTTTCTTTCTGCTGTTAGTCGGAGCCAGAAGATGATTATTCTGAGATGAGGACACAGGTACTCAGAGTTTACTGTCATGGCCCAGGGCCCAGTTTCCCAAAAGCATCTTAAGGCTAAGTTAATTGTTAGAACCTTCATAGGAGCATCGGTAAAATCTACGAGCTGTTTCCCAAAACCATTGTTACTAAAGTTGCTCTTGAAAACGCTCATAATCTAACACCTGCCTCAGACCACTCTAGAACACCCAAGTGCGTCGTTAGATGCTTTTTTTTGCCCTCCCGCGTCACTTTATACACAGAAGATCTCCGCTAAACATAGAATCACATGGTTTATCCGTCTCTCTGTGACCGCCGATTTACTTCAGAACAAAGTTGACTACAAATACAAAGTTGTCAATCTCTTTGCGACGTATAAAAAGATGCTTCAAATGAAAACTGAGATGACTGCAATAAAAATGTAAACGGCAGGCTATAGGCCAATTTCAATCAAATCAAAATACATTTTAACGTTCAATCAATTAAGTTATATTTTGCTACTTGTAGGCTACTTACTGTCTCAATATACTGTAGTTCATGATGTGTAGCCTAACATGTGCAATGATGTGCTAACTCTGTGATTTTAGTGCGTTTTTATTGGGTAAGCATTAGAATAAAGCCGTAGGTGGTCATGTCCTTCTAGGAGCGGATCCATGGTCAGTATTGTCGAATAATTATAATGCTAAGGTAAGATTTGAATGGGGAAAGCCCTTAGCAAACGTTCTCACTGTGTGATGTTTTTGGGAAACGTATGTTTCATCTTCGGCCGTTTTGTAGGAAAGATGCTTCGTTAAAACACTCGTAAGCCTAAATTCCATCGCTATGGAAACCGGACCCTGCTCAATACTGCAGAGAGGAGACATGTATAGAGCCATTATATCGCTCTCTATATATATACAGTAGGGTCCCAAATTATTGACACCCTTGATAAAGATGAGCAATAATGCCTGTATAAAATAAATAATTCAAGTACTGAGCTATATTGTATGCAAAAAAAAAAAAAAAAAAGGGATTGTACAAAATTTATTGTACAAAACATTAAGAACACCTTCCTAATATTGAGTTGTCTCTGCTGCCTGTATATTGTGCTACCTAGTCTAGCATGGCTGCTGCTGCCACATACATTGCCTTCAGAAAGTTTAAATTGAAGAAAAAAATCACTGGCATACACACAATACCACATAATGTCAAAGTGGAATTAGGTTTTTATTTTTTTTTACAAGTTATTAAAAAATGAAAAGCTGAAATGTCTTGAGTCAATAAGTATACAACCCCTTTGTTACGGCAAGCCTAAATTAAGTTTAGCATGATTTTTTCATGACTCTGTACCACACACATACAGTTATCTGTAAGGTCCCTCAGTCGAGCAGTGATTTTCAAACACAGATTCAACCACAAAGACCTGGATCAATGCCTCGCAAAGAAGGACACCTATTGGTAGATGGGTAAAAATAAAAAAGCATACATTGAATATCCCTTTTGAGCATGGTGAAGTTATTAATTACCCAGTCACTACAAAGATACAGGCGTCCTTCCTAACTCAGTTGCCGGAGAGGAAGGAAACTGCTCAGGGTTCAGTGCGGGTCAACATACTATGGGAAGTTGCACTCTCGCCACTTCGGTTGAAGGATCTACAATCACGCCTGACAAGGCCAATGAAATCCGCTCCTCGCTGGAAGTTCCGCCTTCCACAGGTGATAAGCGTGAGGCTCTGATTTAATTCCTTAAATTATTCCGCTCTTCACCTCGGTGTAAACAGAAATGATTCACGCTGTTAAAACAAACAATTGGAAAACAAGACTGTCTTACGTTTGACCAACTAAACTGTCCAATAGTGGTAAAGCTCATTTTCTCAATGAGGGACCCGAGTGTCCTGTTGGGAATGGACACTCTGGTGCACCAGTGGCCTCAGACCCTCCTTTCTACGTTTCCGCCAGTGGTTCTGATTCGGCCCACATTGAAGAGGGTGTTGCCAGGGAGTGCTTACCATTTGATTATTGTGGCTCCCCATTGGCCCAGGCAGCCTTGGTTCGCAGAGATCATTCGCCTTTTAGGCGGGGACCCGTGGAAACTCCCGTTTGCGCAGGGACCTGTTGTCCCCGGCGCATGGGCAGGTTTGGCAAGCGAGGGCAGAGATTTGGTTCCTATGGACCTGGCCACTCAGAGGGCCAATCTGATGGCTAGATGTTTGTAAGGGCACCCTCTACAAGATGGCTGTATGCATATAAGTGGCAAGTGTTTGAGCTCTTGTACCAAGATAATGGACTTGTTCCTTTTCAGTGCTCTGAAGTTCCTCTTCAACAAAAACCTCCCTGCTCATGGCTTTGGCCTCGGCTAAACGTGTTGGGGACCTCTACACGTTATCCGTGCACCCTTTCTGTTCTCAGAGTTGCCCAGGGCGACTCTAAGGTGACGTTGTGTCCAAATGTCACAAAGCTCCGGTGCGAGCTTTAAGCACGTACATTGAACGGACCCGGGATATCCGGTTATGTGACCAACCTTTTTGTCTGTTTTGCTAATCCAGTTTGCAGGCAGGGTGCTCTCTCCCACTGGAGTCTATCTCCCTGACATATAGCAGCAAGGGTTATGTAGCGGTGGACGCCCACTCCACCAGGGGTCTGGCAGCGTCTTGGGCGATGTTTAAAGGGTTGACCATAGGATATATTTGTGCTGTGGCGAGTTGCTTGGATGGCGCTGCTCCCAGTATAGCACACAGTTTGTTTATGACTGGGGACAGGGGAATGTCACTAGGCAGCACTCTGTTGGTGCCGTCTTGGGGTGTGATTATATTTCCCCATAGTGTGTTGTGCCAAAGTTGACTGACTGAAAGGGAATGTAACGTTATAACTACTGTTCCCTGAAGGAGGGAAACGCCCGTTCCTGTGCTCGGTGAAGAGCGGTATTAAATTGAAGGAATGAATCCGAACCTCACGCTTATCACCTGTGGAAGGCGAGGCTTACAGTGAGGCGCAGATTTCATTGGCCTTGTCGGGCGTGATTGTAGATCCGGGAACAGAACTTATAGTCATAACGTTACAAGTTGCAGAGTTGAATGGCTGTGATAGGAGAAAACTAAGGATGGATCAACAACATTGTAGTTACTCCACAATACTAACCTAATTGACAGTGAAAGAGAAGCCTGTACAGAATAAAAATATTTAAAAACAAGCATCCTGTTTGCAACAAGGCACTAAAGTAATACTGTCAAAGAAAATGGCAAAGCAATTACCCTTTTGTCCTGAATACAAAGTGTTATGTTTTGGGGCAAATCCAATACAACACATTACTGAGTACCACTCCCCATATTTTCAAGCATAGTGGTGGCTGCAACATGTTATGGGTATGCTTGGAATCGTTAAGGACTGTGGAGTTTTTCAGGATAAAAAAACGGAATGGGCTAAGCACAGGCAAAATCCTAGAGGAAAACCTGGTTCAGTCTGCTTTCCAACAGACACTTGGAGATGAATTCACCTTTCAGCAGGACAATAACCTAAAACACAAGGCCAAATATACACTGGAGTTGCTTACCAAGACGACATTGAATGTTCCTGAGTGGCCGAGTTACAGTTTTGACTTAAATCTGCTTGAAAATCTATGGCAAGACCTGAAAGTGGTTATCTGGCGATGATCAACAACCAATTTTATAGAGTTTATAGAATTTTGAAAAGAATAATGGGGCAAATGTTGCACAATCCAGGTGTGGAAAGCTCTTAGAGACTTACCCAGAAATACTCACAGCGCTAATCGCTACAAAAGGTGATTCTAACGTGTATTGACTTAGGGGGTTGAATACTTATCTAATCAAGATATGTTAGTGTTTTTAGATCGTTGACAAAAAAAATGACAATTAAATGAATTTTAATCCCACTTTGTAACACAACAAAATGTGGAATATGTCGAGGGATATGAATACTTTCTGAAGACAATATAACGCCGTCACATTCATGTTTCTGTTGGTGCCGTTTTGTTGAGGAATCACACGAGAGGTTGCTTGTTTTATTTGACCTTGTTGGCTGATATGTTGAGGTAACTCCATTACAGCTCAGTGAGATGATTCTGACCATTTATTTTATCGACCACAGCCTTAGACAACAAAACTCCCTACATATCTCTCTCTCTCTACTATATGATATAGTACTCTAGCATAACCCTCCGGATATTCATTCTTATAGCGTTGCACGGTGCACCGAAATTTCTGTACTCGATACTATAACACAAAATATTGTTCGGGTAATAGATTATTTTTTTTTACTTTCGGTTCTTCTATTACATTTTTACATTTACGTCATTTAGCAGACGCTCTTATCCAGAGCGACTTACAGGAGCAATTAGGGTTAAGTGCCTTGCTCAAGGGCACGTCGACAGATTTTTCACCTAGTCGGCTCGGGGATTAGAACCAGCGACCTTTCGGTTACTGGCACAACGCTCTTAACCACTAAGCTACCTGCCGCTACCTGCCGCCCCGTTTCTATCAAATGTGTCTCACGTTTGGAAAATGAACTAAATGTATTGACCTTATTAGAAAATGTATTACTTTGCCCAAGTTTATCATGACATGAAAAGAATGCATCAGTGATTCGTATTCCCTGTCTCCTGCGACTCAGTCCCTGCGGTTATATAAGAGAAAATACATAAATGTATACGGAACAAAAATATAAACGCAACAATTTCAACGATTTTACTGAGTTACTGTTCATAGAAGGAAATCAGTCAATTTAAATAAATTCATTAGGGCCATAATCTATGGCTTTCACATGACTGGGCAGGGGCGCAGCCATGGGTGGGCCTGGGAGGGCATAGGCCCACCCTCAAAAGGGCTTTATTACAGAACGATGACAGAGAGAACTTTACCGATGTCAACTAGATTGACACATTCATTCTATCTTTCGATGACATCATTCTGGTGAGCAAGGGTTTATTTAGTCTTCTAGGGCAACATGTAATGACAGAAGAGAAGCTGCATGTATCTAATTATAGACAAGTTGACTAACAAATAGCCTACCAAAAATGTCGAAGATTATAAGCAGAAACCTCTCTAAATCAAGCCCCCCAAAAAATCCTGCACCCCCTGTCAAAAAAAAGTTCTGCCGTCTTTGACTGTAGCTTATAGTGCATTTTCTATATTTGCGGGTTAGGGTTGGGTGCGGGGCCTCAGATTTTCACTTGATCACATATAGTCGGGCGTTTGCGGATCGGTAATTGGGATGGGGTTGTTAGCAATTACGGCCGGGTGCGGATGAACAAACATTTTTGCGATTGGCCACTGAAACACCCCTAACCTAACAACATCGCTATGTGCATACACACTTGAATTAAAGGGTAACTACACTCAAGAATCTACATTTCTTAGATTTTTCACAGACCTCAACGTTGGTCCCCTGATGTGGTTTCAGCATTGTTGTGGACTTGAATCATCCAATTATGTTGTTTTTCTATTTAAAAAGCTGTAGTATCGAGTATCGCGATACTAAACCGAGTATCGAAGTCAAAATTATGATATTGTGAGAACAGTACATTCTTATGCCTCCCTCTCTCCTCTTGTCTTTCCAGTATAGTTTCATAAGGCGAATTAAAGGAGAGAACGTTTTTATCAAGCATAGTAATCTCATGTTAGAGGTTGGTGTGAATCCAAACGCATGGTGTGCATTACGCATGCAGGTCTGCTAGTGTGAAGAACCCTAACTGGGAGAAAAAAAAACTGACTGCAACACAAAATAATGCTCAATACGTATACTACTGGTACTATCATATCTTATGACTAAACTGTGAGGAGTGGTCTTTGAAGTGTTGATACTCACCTTTATCAACTTGGTACAGCTGTAGTGAGTGCTTCAACCAACCCTTAGCTACTTATCATTGTGTGAAATACTATAACTCTGTAGCAATAGATAGGTCTGAATGGATGTTTGCAGAATCCTCTAACCCTAAACCCTAGCGAGAAGTGGGAGTGTTTGTTTTGAGGCCATGCTGCATGCATCCTCATTGGTCATCCTGGAGTGCGTTCCACATGGCACACTGTTCCCTATATAGTGCACTACTTTTGACCAGATCCCTATGGGCCCTGGTCAAAAGTAGTGCACTAGATAGGGTGCTATTTGGGAACACAGCCCCCTACTCTGTTACTTTTGGTTTATCCCATTCTGGTCTAGTCATGCTACTGTGCTGTGCCTCCAGGGGCTTTTATCAGTTCCACACAGCCTTGATATACTATTGCCTGGTGCTTAGCCTTAGAGGGAATCAAAAGCTGCCATACGAAATACAGAAACACCACGCATGGCTTGTCTCCCGACCCTCGTATTGCCTGCCTAGTCGCCAAACCTTACTTCCTGTTAGCCTGCTTGTATCCTGCTTGGTGATTGGTCGATCAGCACCTCACGTCCTTCTATCCTGCTCCTGATTTGGTGGTTCAGAACACAGAGGCGTCGGAGGAGCTGGTGAAACATCAGAGAGACATCAGCGAACTGAAGCGCTCCTTCCTGGAGACGTCAGGTGGCGCTGACACCCTGGGACAGACAGAGTGGGAGAAGAGACTGTCGTCGTCTCCTCCGGCACGCTCCCACAGCGGGGGAGTGGAGGAGGCACCCATGATAGAACCACTACACACCCCACAGGACCCAGTAAGATCCAGGCCCTGGGGGAGTACTAGAATACATACTAGCTAACTGCATGGGTACACTGCATGGATACACTGGCTGTGACAGAGACACTGAGGTGGTCTTAGGCGGGAGAAGAGACTGTCAACTGCTCTGGCCACCACATCGGTGTGGACGTACTAACAGCATGGATGGGGCCCAAGGTTTTTCCACATGGTCAGGGAAGACTCTATGCATGGGGGACACTGTCTTACACGCTAGAGAAGAACCTGGACACTCACAGGGACACTGTAGGAAACAGAGGAGGTTTCTGCTGTATATATATATAATATAGAACTGTGTTTTCTCTGTAGGAGACGGAGGAGGTTTCTGCTGTAATATATAATATAGAACTGTGTTTTCTCTGTAGGAGACGGAGGAGGTTCCTGCTGCTGAGGAAGAGATGAAGCAGGAGGTACAAGCCAATGGCATTGAGGCAAGACAGCCATTGTGTGTGTGTGTGTGTGTCAGTGTGTCTCTCTGTGTGTGTGTCAGTGTGTCTCTCTGTGTGTCTGTGTGTGTGTGTCAGTGTGTCTCTCTGTGTGTCTGTGTGGTCGCTGTAAGCTGAGTCTCTTCCTGTAGGCTGCAGGCATGGTGAACTCTAGCGATGTGGGGGCGGGGACTGCAGGAGCACAGGGGTGTGGTCTGATGACTCTAACTGACACCTTAGAAGACGTCACCAGTGACTGGACGGACAGAGAGACGGACGGAGAGAAGGACGGAGAGGAAGAGAGGTTTCCACTATCTCCAGAGCTGAAGATAAGTCCAGGGACAGTCAGACAGGAAGTCTCTACGGCCATCTTGGACAAGAGAGGAACACTCATCATCCTGAGGGAGATGGAGTCTGAAGACAAAATGGATGCCAGTGACAAAACGGACACCAGCAGAGACGTTACCAAGACCAACCAGGAGAACGGAGGGGGGACTTCAGCAACTGTTGAGGAGGATGGTGAGGAGCTAGACGGAGATCCTCTGGCCCAATCTAAGAAGAAATATGCCATAATCAACACAAATGAAGATGAGACCGGTGGTGAGGTAGATGCTGAGACCAGCAACAAGAGAGAGATGTCTCTCAACTTAAGCCAGACGGAGATTGGTGAAGAAATGAATGGTGTTAACTCACTGAAGATGAGTGGTGTTAACTCACTGAAGATGAGTGGTGTTAACTCACTGAAGATGAGTGGTGTTAACTCACTGAAGACGAGTGGTGTTAACTCACTGAAGACGAGTGATGTTGACTCACTCCAGAAGACTCCAAGTCCCTCCGAGGTCTTGACCAAGACAGTTGAAAGGTCAGAGTTCACCACCGTGTCACATGAGGAGGTGACAGAGCTGATTACCCAGGATGCACCACCGCAGAGAGAGGAATCGCGTGGCCTGGATGAAGCTGTGAGCGACCTATCACAGTCGAGTTTCCCCGACGGTCAATTTGACACCAAACCATCATCTGGATCTCGAGCTGTGGTACTGTATGGATGTAAAACAATACAAGCTGCATGTGAAGCTTCCTCCTTCACATGCCCTACATGCCTGCTGCACCCCCCCCCACCAACTGCTCCCCTCCACCCCTCCAGCAGTGCTCCAACCAGTATTACTGAGTATTACAGGAACGCTCTGCCCTGCATGGCTAGACTGCCAAACAAACAATCTGTATATCCCCCTTCTATCTGCTGACTTCGGGCACATGCTTTCTGTTGCTCTCAAAGCTTTGCTTCATTTTGACACATGGCTCCGAAGCTTACTGTATCTTGCAGCTGCCAGCTCATCAGGTGGGCAGCTAAAAGGCTTTTGTTATGACTGTTTTGCTGCTCAGCACCATTTTATTTCCTCCAGTCTGTGTCATTGGTCTTAAGCAGTGACATCATTATCATCAGTCTGTGTCATTGGTCTTAAGCAGTGACATCATTATCATCAGTCTTGTGTCATTGGTCTTAAGCAGTGACATCATTATCATCAGTCTGTGTCATTGGTCTTAAGCAGTGACATCATTATCATCAGTATCCTGCCACTGCTGCAGCTTCTCCCACTATGCCACCAGAAACATTGTATGGTCTAATACAACATAGACCCATACAATCTACAGTCTAATACGACATAGACCCATACAATCTACAGTCTAATACGACATAGACCCATACAATCTACAGTCTAATACAACATAGACCCATACAATCTACAGTCTAATACGACATAGACCCATACAATCTACAGTCTAATACGACATAGACCCATACAATCTACAGTGTAATACAACATAGACCCATACAATCTACAGTCTAATACAACATAGACCCATACAATCTACAGTCTAATACGACATAGACCCATACAATCTACAGTCTAATACGACATAGACCCATACAATCTACAGTCTAATACGACATAGACCCATACAATCTACAGTCTAATAAGACATAGACCCATACAATCTACAGTCTAATACGACATAGACCCATACAATCTACAGTCTAATACGACATAGACCCATACAATCTACAGTCTAATACGACATAGACCCATACAATCTACAGTCTAATACGACACAGACCCATACAATCTACAGTCTAATACGACACAGACCCATACAATCTACAGTCTAATACGACACAGACCCATACAATCTACAGTCTAATACGACACAGACCCATACAATCTACAGTCTAATACGACACAGACCCATACAATCTACAGTCTAATACGACACAGACCCATACAATCTACAGTCTAATACGACACAGACCCATACAATCTACAGTTTAATACGACACAGACCCATACAATCTACAGTCTAATACGACACAGACCCATACAATCTACAGTTTAATACGACACAGACCCATACAATCTACAGTCTAATACGACATAGACCCATACAATCTACAGTCTAATACGACATAGACCCATACAATCTACAGTCTAATACAACATAGACCCATACAATCTACAGTCTAATACGACATAGACCCATACAATCTACAGTCTAATACAACAGACCCATACAATCTACAGTCTAATACAACATAGACCCATACAATCTACAGTTTAATACATCATAGACCCATACAATCTACAGTCTAATACAACATAGACCCATACAATCTACAGTTTAATACATCATAGACCCATACAATCTACAGTTTAATACAACATAGACCCATACAATCTACAGTCTAATACGACATAGACCCATACAATCTACAGTCTAATACAACATAGACCCATACAATCTACAGTCTAATACGACATAGACCCATACAATCTACAGTCTAATACGACATAGACCCATACAATCTACAGTCTAATACGACATAGACCCATACAATCTACAGTCTAATACGACATAGACCCATACAATCTACAGTTTAATACAACATAGACCCATACAATCTACAGTCTAATACAACATAGATCCATACAATATACAGTCTAATACGACATAGACCCATACAATGTTTTCGGTTTCCTTTTCCTCATTCCTATCTGCAGTGTTGCTTCCTCCTGATTTCTTCTCTGTGTTAGATTTGACTCTCCTTCTCTCTCCCTCTGTCTCTCTCCCTCTGCCTCTCTCCCTCTGCCTCTCTCCCTCTGTCTCTCTCCCTCTCTCCCCGCCTGTACATCAGTCTTCACTGGTATGGGTCCCCTCCTCTGTAACCAAGGTGACCACTGCTCTGGTCGTCGTGGAAGCATCAGCCACAGCAGTCATGTTGTGTCCGGTTTAAAAACAACATTATTTAGTCCATTTTAAATTATTTTGAAGCAGTCCAATTCACTGGAGGCACTGTTAAATGTGTAAATGTTGCAAAACTGGAATATGACACATGTTGTACCATACCTCACTTCCCCCTCTTATCAGGTTTGTCAATAGACTGCCTTTTGTTGGTGTATCTGTTTGTGCAAGCCTGTATTTTACTAGAAGGTCAGTTACTGTGATTCTACCAGAGGGCCAGTAATTTGACGTCACTCTTGTCCCTCACAGAGCTCAGCTGGAGAGGAGGGGGAGACAGGAGGGAGCCAGGAGGGAGCCGGGAGGGGGCCGGTAGGGAGACAGGAGGATGCTGAGACAGCAGAGTCTACGGGACCTACGGTGAGCCTCTCCCATACCGATGCTGCAGAACCACAACTAGAGCCAGTAGTCAATGGAGAAACACAGGCTGCAGGCTTGCACCCAGAACCACTCACTGTGGTCGCTGATCTAGAACCAGTAATGACTGCCGAGACCCAGCCAGAACTGACTGTAGAGGTACTACCAGAACCAGCTGTCATTACAGATGCAGAGCCAGAACCTGAACTGACTGTAGATGCTGATGTAGAATCAGAACTTAAGGCAAAGGCCCAACCAAAAGCATCACTCCATACAGAACCACAGCCAGAACCACTAGTTACTGTAGAGATACAGCCAGAACCACTAGTTACTGTAGAGATACAGCCAGAACCACTAGTTACTGGAGAGATACAGCCAGAACCACTAGTTACTGGAGAGATACAGCCAGAACCACTAGTTACTGGAGAGATACAGCCAGAACCACTAGTTACTGTAGAGATACAGCCAGAACCACTAGTTACTGGAGAGATACAGACGGAACCACTAGTTACTGGAGAGATACAGCCAGAACCACTAGTTACTGGAGAGATACAGACGGAACCACTAGTTACTGGAGAGATACAGCCAGAACCACTAGTTACTGGAGAGATACAGCCGGAACCACTAGTTACTGGAGAGATACAGACGGAACCACTAGTTACTGGAGAGATACAGACAGAACCACTAGTTACTGGAGAGATACAGCCGGAACCACTAGTTACTGGAGAGATACAGCCGGAACCACTAGTTACTGGAGAGATACAGCCGGAACCACTAGTTACTGGAGAGATACAGCCGGAACCACTAGTTACTGGAGAGGTACAGCCGGAACCACTAGTTACTGTAGAGATACAGACGGAACCACTAGTTACTGGAGAGATACAGACGGAACCACTAGTTACTGGAGAGGTACAGCCGGAACCACTAGTTACTGGAGAGGTACAGCCGGAACCACTAGTTACTGGAGAGATACAGACGGAACCACTAGTTACTGGAGAGATACAGACGGAACCACTAGTTACTGGAGAGGTACAGCCGGAACCACTAGTTACTGGAGAGATACAGCCGGAACCACTAGTTACTGGAGAGATACAGACGGAACCACTAGTTACTGGAGAGATACAGACGGAACCACTAGTTACTGGAGAGATACAGCCGGAACCACTAGTTACTGGAGAGATACAGCCAGAACCACTAGTTACTGGAGAGGTACAGCCGGAACCACTAGTTACTGGAGAGATACAGACGGAACCACTAGTTACTGGAGAGGTACAGCCGGAACCACTAGTTACTGTAGAGATACAGCCAGAGTCAGAGGTAGAGGCTGTACGTTCTGCCGAGTCAGAACTAGAGGTAGACACTGATCTAGAACCAGAACTGACTGCAGACACTGATCTAGTACCAGAACTGACTGTAGACACTGATCTAGAACCAGAAGTTACTGTAGAGCCAGAACTAAGTACCAAGTCCAAGCCAGAGCCCTATGCCGGCCCTACTGCAGCGCTGGAGCACAAATACATCCAGACATTAGGGGCAGCCTGCACTGAGGGGCTAACGACAGGGTCCACTACTACCACAGAGGAGCTTTGTAGTCAAACTGAGTCCACTACAGAAGAGACAGGTACAGAGAGTTGTGCAGGGCAGGTCTCAGAGAGGGAAGGGGCAGGTCTGTCTGCAGTATCAGAGTTGGGGCAGGAGAACATCTTGGTGACTGAGCTACTCTACAGAGAGTCATACAGCATCAAACAGAACAGTCGTAGGAGAGCAGGGGGAACAGGTAGGAGAGGAGGGGGAACAGGTAGGAGAGGAGGGGGAACAGGTAGGAGAGGAGGCGGAAGTGGTAGGAGAGGAGGAGGAAGTGGTAGGAGAGGAGGCGGAAGTGGTAGGAGAGCAGGCGGAAGTGGTAGGAGAGGAGAGGGAAGTGGTAGGAGAGGAAAAGGAAGTGGTAGGAGAGGAGAAGGAAGTGGTAGGAGAGGGGAGGAGGAGAGAAGGGGGAAGTGGTAGGAGAGGAGGTGGAGAGAAGGGAGAAGTGGGAGGAGAGGAGAGGGAAGTGGTAGGAGAGCAGAGGGAAGTGGTAGGAGGGAAATGGTGGGTAGGAGGTGGAAGGAGAGAGGCATAGTGGTAGGACGAGGGGAGGAGTGGTTGGAGAGAAGGGGGAGTGGTAGGAGAGGAGGGAGAGTGGATGGAGAGGGGCAGGAAGTGTAGGGAGGAGGAGGACGTGGGAGAGTGGGGGAGAGGAGAGGGAAGTGGTAGGAGAGCAGAGGGAAGTGGTAGGAGAGGAGGGGGAAGTGGTAGGAGAGGAGGTGGAAGGAGAGGAGGCATAAGTGGTAGGAGAGGAGGAGGAAGTGGTTGGAGAGAAGGGGGAAGTGGTAGGAGAGGAGAGGGAAGTGGTAGGAGAGGAGGAGATGGTCGGAAGGAGGAGAGTGGAGGAGAGGAGGCAGAAGTGGGAGGGGAAGTGGTAGGAGAGGAGAGGGAGTGGTAGGAGGCGGCGACGGTGGTGGAGAGACGGGGGAACGTGGTAGGAGCGGAGGGGAACGTGGTCGGAGGGACGGGCGTAGAAGTGGTGGAGAGGAGGTGAGTGGGGTGGGAGGAGGAGGAAGTGGAAGGCAGAGGGGGAGTGGTAGGGGGGGGGAACGTGGTGGGCTGGAGAGGAGGAGAACAGTGGTAGGGAGGAGCAGGAGTGGAAGTGGTGGAGGCGGCTCGAGGAAGTGGTAGGAGCGAGGGGAAGGTGGAGGAGGAGGGCAAGTGGTAGGAGAGGGGGAGTGTGTGGGGGGAGGGCAAGGGGGAGGGTGGGGTGGTAGGAGGGGGGGAAAGTGGCCGTGGGACCGGCGAGGAGGGGGAGGGACGTGGTAGGGCAGCGTGGGAGAGGGAGAGTGGTAGGGGAGGAGGGGAAGTGGTAGGAGAGGAGAGGGAAGTGGTAGGAGGGAGGAGGAAGTGGAGGAGAGGAAGTGGTAGGAGAGGAGGGGGTAAGGGTAGGAGGAGGAGAGGGAAGTGGTAGGAGAGGAGGAGAAAGTCCCGTGGTAGGAGATGGGAATAGGAGTAGGGAAAGGGGGAAGTGGTAGGAGACAAGGACATGCCCACTTCACAGGGTGTTGAAGACAAGGACATGCCCACTTCACAGGGTGTTGAAGACAAGGACATGCCCACTTCACAGGGTGTTGAAGACAAGGACATGCCCACTTCACAGGGTGTTGAAGACAAGGACATGCCCACTTCACAGGGTGTTGAAGACAAGGACATGCCCACTTCACAGGGTGTTGAAGACAAGGACATGCCCACTTCACAGGGTGTTGAAGACAAGGACATGCCCACTTCACAGGGTGTTGAAGACAAGGACATGCCCACTTCACAGGGTGTTGAAGACAAGGACATGCCCACTTCACAGGGTGTTGAAGACAAGGACATGCCCACTTCACAGGGTGTTGAAGCCAATGAGCTGGTAGAAGAAGAGACCCCTCTCACACCCACACCTCCAGCCTGGCCCCTCCTAGAGGTAACCTCTAGCCAGCCCCGGTGTCCTCTGCCTGGGCCTCTAACTTCAGCACTGTCCCCTCCCTGGATGGCTTGGTCTGGACCCTCACTCTCTCCCACTAATAATCAAGGAGATTGAACGGATCAGGGAACCTAATAAACAGCACACTTGATGGAACTTTTGGGATTTGCATTGGCCGTTTCTATAGGGCCGTTTCTATAGGGCCGTTTCTATGGCCCTTTCTATAGGGCCCTTTCTATAGGGCCGTTTCTATAGGGCCGTTTCTATAGGGCCGTTTCTATAGGGCCCTTTCTATAGGGCCCTTTCTATAGGGCCTTTCTACAGGGCCGTTTCTATAGGGCCGTTTCTATAGGGCCGTTTCTATAGGGCCCTTTCTATAGGGCCGTTTCTATAGGGCCGTTTCTATAGGGCCTTTCTATAGGGCCGTTTCTATAGGGCCGTTCTAGGTTTGATAGGTTATACTGTATTTCCTCTGACTAGGGTATTATGGGTTTTATTAGTTTAGCTCATGTTGTTGTCTGTTCGGGTTCTCCATTCCAGCATGTGGCATGTGTTTGTCCTATTTGATGACGTTTGTTTGTTTTGACGTTTCTAGTTTGTGTTCACTTAAACTGTTTCCAGACAAATCCCGTTTTCATTCTGGTTCAGTTAGCAAAGCACACACACAGGTTCCTAAATGGCAGATGGAACTGTCATCCACTGGTCCGATTTAGAAGAGCCAGTAATGTTGAGGTTCTACCATCCTGTCTTGCTCTTCATTCATCCTCATTTCTTCTCCTCTGTCCGCCCAGAAACCCGAGGCTGTGCCAGCGAAGGAGCCGACCGCCAAGGAGAATCCTGTACTCCACACAGAGACTAAAACCATCACCTACGAGTCTTCAGAGGTGCGTTCATTAGGGCAGCGACACAAGAAGAAGAAGAAGAGAAAAGGAAAGCAACAGTGAGAGTTTCTTCTTGATCCAGGTAGTCCCTCCCTTTCCTTTCCACTCATTAGAGTTTGTCACGTGACTTCTGACAGGGTGACTACAATGGTGACGCGGAACCCGGTGTTCTGATGAGCGCTCAGACCATCACCTCGGAAACCACCAGCACCACCACGACCACACACATCACTAAGGTTAGGGGTCATTTCATCAGCGGACCCTTTTTTACCTCTGGGTCTCTAACCCTAACCCATTATAAACTAATTACCTCTGGGTCTCTAACCCTAACCCATTATAAACTAATTACCTCTGGGCTCCTAACCCATTATAAACTAATTACATCTGGGTTTCTAACCCTAACCCAGTATAAACTAATTACCTCTGGGTCTCTAACCCTAACCCATTATAAACTAATTACCTCTGGGTTCCTAACCCATTATAAACTAATTACCTCTGGGTTCCTAACCCATTATAAACTAATTACCTCTGGGTTTCTAACCCTAACCCATTATAAACTAATTACCTCTGGGTCTCTAACCCTAACCCATTATAAACTAATTACCTCTGGGTTCCTAACCCATTATAAACTAATTACCTCTGGGTTCCTAACCCATTATAAACTAATTACCTCTGGGTTTCTAACCCTAACCCATTATAAACTAATTACCTCTGGGTCTCTAACCCTAACCCATTATAAACTAATTACCTCTGGGTTCCTAACCCATTATAAACTAATTACCTCTGGGTTCCTAACCCATTATAAACGAATTACCTCTGGGTCTCTAACCCTAACCCATTATAAACTAATTACCTCTGGGTTCCTAACCCATTATAAACTAATTACATCTGGGTTTCTAACCCTAACCCATTATAAACTAATTACCTCTGGGTTCCTAACCCTAACCCATTATAAACTAATTACCTCTGGGTTCCTAACCCATTATAAACTAATTACCTCTGGGTCTCTAACCCTAACCCATTATAAACTAATTACCTCTGGGTTCCTAACCCATTATAAACTAATTACCTCTGGGTCTCTAACCCTAACCCATTATAAACTAATTACCTCTGGGTTCCTAACCCTAACCCATTATAAACTAATTACCTCTGGGTTCCTAACCCATTATAAACTAATTACCTCTGGGTCTCTAACCGTAACCCATTATAAACTAATTACCTCTGGGTTCCTAACCCTAACCCATTATAAACTAATTACCTCTGGGTTCCTAACCCATTATAAACTAATTACCTCTGGGTTCCTAACCGTAACCTATTATAAACATTCTAAACTTCTATTGAACTTCAGTGACTCCTTCAAAGAGTTGCTGAATATCTTTCACATTTTTAGTTCTCCTTCATGCTGTTTATGCTCCTTGGTTATAAGCAAAATAGCAACAGTATAGTTTTCCATCTCCTTCATAACGCTGTATCCCTCTGTCAATCCGTTCTGCTGTCAGACGGTGAAGGGAGGGGTCTCTGAGACCAGGATAGAGAAGAGGATCGTCATCACAGGAGATGCAGGAGATATCGACCATGATCAGGTCTCTGTCTCTCTCTTTCTCTCTTTCTTTCTTTCTTTCTTTCTTTCTATTTGACTTCTCATTGATTATTTTGAACATATACAGATGAGGATGACAAATGTATCATGAATCTGGGGAAGATATCAACTTCCCCAATCCTCTTGCCTATAATGACTGAATATAATGGTTGTATATGTAATGTGACCTAACTTCAGTTGTCTGGTTGATGTAACTAGTGTTCTAGACTAGTACTAACCAGGAGATGACTCTGTAACTAGTGTTCTAGACTAGTACTAACCAGGAGATGACTCTGTAACTAGTGTTCTAGACTAGTACTAACCAGGAGATGACTCTGTAACTAGTAGTCCTACTAGACACACTCACTGACTCCTCCTCCCTGCCGTCCCTCCTCCCTCCCCACCTCCTCCCTGCCGTCCCTCCCTCCTCCCCACTTCCTCCTTCCTCCTCCCTCCCGTCCCTCCTCCCCACTTCCTCCTCCCTCCTCCCCACTTCCTCCTCCCCACATCCTCCTGCCAACTTCCTCCTCCCTCCCGTCCCGCCTCCCCACTTCCTCCTCCCTCCTCCCCACTTCCTCCTCCCCACATCCTCCTCCCCACTTCCTCCTCCTTCCTGTCCCTCATCCCCACTTCCTCCTCCCTCCTCCCCACTTCCTCCTCCCTCCTGTCCCTCCTCCCCACATCCTCCTCCCCACCTCCCTGCCCCCTCTCTGTCTCCCTCTCCTGGTGTTGTTGTGCTATTGCACCACCAGGCTCTGGCCCAGGCCATAAAGGAGGCCAAAGAGCAGCATCCTGACATGTCAGTGACCAAAGTAGTGGTTCATAAAGAGACAGAGATCACACCTGAGGGAGAGGACTGACCCAGGTAAGATAAACAGACAGAGATCACACCTGAGGGAGAGGACTGACCCAGGTAAGATAAACAGACAGAGATCACACCTGAGGGAGAGGACTGACCCAGGTAAGATAAACAGACAGAGATCACACCTGAGGGAGAGGACTGACCCAGGTAAGATAAACAGACAGAGATCACACCTGAGGGAGAGGACTGACCCAGGTAAGATAAACAGACAGAGATCACACCTGAGGGAGAGGACTGACCCAGGTAAGATAAACAGACAGAGATCACACCTGAGGGAGAGGACTGACCCAGGTAAGCAGACCCACCGTATGTGGTCGTGGTATTGTTCGGTTGTGGTCAGCTGGGCTGGGCTTGGAAGCTAGTCCACTCATCTTCCTCCATCGCTCCTCGGCATGCTCCTGCTTCCCCCACATCATCTGCAGCATTTCTGAAACACTAGCATCCGCACGAACCTCATCCTCCTACATCTAGACATTAACTCTATGTATCTGCTGTCCTTCGCGGATGAGTTTGCCACTTGCAGACAGTGGCAAATGCATTGGAGCTGCCGGTCTGAGGTCTGCTACGTTAACTCATTTGTATGGACTCAGCTTTAACCTGGGTACACTAGATTCGATATGCCTCACAAACGTTCAAAAAATATCAGTCCGATCGATATTAATTAGTAGTTTAATTAAATGTATCTATCTGAATCAGATCTGTAAAGTCATCCAAACAAAATAATGTGATTTACCAACCTCTTCAAAGCTTCTAAAAGGAAGTGTTGTCTTCACGAAGAGACTAAAACTCACTGATGTAACCTAGATTTCGCTACTTCGTGTCGTGTTTGTAGACAGAGGCAGGTCCAATCTGTTGTATCTAGGTCACAGGAGTGAGTTGTACTGCTCTGTGCGTGCTCTCTGGTTGCCACGTCACCATAACTGCAAACACACGCCACGGTTGGGTTCAAGAGGGTGCAACACGTTGAACGTTGCAGATAGAAATGTTGTGAATAGAGCTGACGTGATTACCTAACTCTACACGTCAGAGAGGCATGTATGTTCTGTGTAATATGTTTCTATCTGAACGTTCCGCAGTGTTCTGCACCCTGTTGCGTTTCGGTATTCCGGCCTGTCTAGTCTTAACTTCTACTGTCAGGGTTGTTTTTCCTTTGGTGGATTCTGATTGGTTGACAGGCATGGCGTTGGTTGGTTGTTTATGGTGGTTTTCCCCTCCCACTCCTTCATGTTACTCTGTCTCTCCTTCTGGATTTAACCACATCTTTCTTTTTATTTAAATTTTTATTTTATTCAGTGGACATGCTCTCCATGTTGTTGACCTCTTTAACCCTTTACACTTGTGGTAATTGGCCTATATAGATAGGGCAAAATGAAAAATGTTTCTTACAGAAGAAATATGAAAAGCATATAACCGTGGTAGCAATTGAAAGGGAACAGTTTAGAGATGATGGGGAAAATGATTAGACCCAAGGCGAGGACACAACAGGTCACCTGACACAAGACTGAATCCAAACATTACACTGTTGATTTGATGTGAATGTTACTTTTACTGTACTTTTCACAGCATTTATTAATAACGACCTCTGAAAATACAGTGATACATTCAGTAACATGATAAGACTATTCCTGGACAATGTGGGGTGCTGTATAAGACAACAAAAGACAAAAGAATGCCAAGGGTTTGAGTGAGAGGACTAACTGGTGTCTCCAAGTGACCACACCTCTCCCAAAGTGTGCACAACCGCAAAATTGTGAAGAAAAGTCTGGATTGCGTAAACAATAACAGTAATTGTGCGAGGATGACTTAATTTCAATGCACGTTTATGACTCGAAGAAGAGTCTTCAACTATAAGGTGGGTTTTTAACTCTCCTAGCTGTGCTGTTGAGGAACTGGAGCAAGGTACACCTGTAGTTGTTTGGAACGCAGCCCTGCATCCCGGCCATCACACAGTTACTGTTGTTGTTTACTCAATCCGGAATGTTCTTCACAACAGACAAACAGTCTGTTCAGGACAACCCAGGGTATGACGCCATGTCATCTTGTAGCTTGTACAGCAACCGTGGTGATCATACACACAATCACGACACAACTTTTATGATATGAAAATATGTAGTGCACATTTGGACTCACGGGTGTTTTGGCACGCTTGCATCATGACATCAAAGTGGTATTTTTTTTTTAAATAATCCTCAACGTCTCATCTTTCAAATTACATTGAGTCCTCTTTAATTTACAGCATTTCCCTCATTTTAGACAACGACAAATGTGCAAAAGTTGGGCAATTAGCGGGAGGGATGGGGGGGGCAACTGTGTGTCGCGCGAGGTGCTGAACTTTTAGAACGTCTGTCAGTCAAAACACACACAGCGCTGTGAAGCGAAGCGCAGAGCTCTGATGTCATTTATAGCACATTCCTGTACAGCCGCAGCGTTCCAATTTAGGTGTCTTATCAGTGCCGAGAAAACGTCAACCCGTGTACGGCTGCAACTGTAAAGGGTTAATTAAGATTTGGTGTTGACCATAACCTTGGACCTTTTAACCTACGTTACTTCAACTCCTCTAGGTTTTTCCCCCAGGCATTATTTCTTCTGAATAAAAACGATAACCCACAGGCTACAGCACTGCAGGAGCAGCAGGTGTGCATGACTAATAATGATGAGACTGTCGTAACTGAGGTCTCCGTGGCCCTCAGCTCTGTCCCTGCTGCTACTGTCTGTTAAGGGTGACGTTTCCCAGACAGATATTTAGACAGACAAGAGCATGCTTTACTCCAATAGTACGGCTTATTCTATGTCCAGGAAACTGGCCCTAAAAAAATTGGTCTGTGGATGCTTTGCAATTCCCAATATCCTGCCGCTGTGTTATGTTTGCGCTGTCATTCACATGGCGAGAGTATCAGCATGACGCCGCTGCACCGTACTCGCATAATCTGCCTCCAATGCTGTGTGGCGTTTCCTACAGCGGGTTGCTCCAAATGACCCGGAAATTCACTAACCGACGTTCTTTCTCTTTTAGGAGTAAGACCCAGGACAGTTTTATATCCCCTTGGTGGAAGGACTCCAACCTCCAGCATCCAACTCCCAACGTCACGATGGGTTTCATTACATTACTGTGCTGCCTGCTAAGGCCCCATTATAACTACAGCCACCCTACTGTTCTATAGACAGTCTGCCCTATAGAAATATCACCTGTAGAGCGGGCTTCCCCCATTCAAGTCAATGATGGCATAATATATCGTAATTTCAATGCTCTACGCTCTCTATGGTTCCCGATCCTAACCTGAGTTCCATGTGTTTTTAATTTGGCTTTACTGCCTAAATCGTCCGTTGATGTCAATGGGAGATTTTAAAGTCAAATGATGTAGTTAGGAATCTGGAGTTAAGACGTATGCCTATCACCAGTCCCATCCGTCATTGTCAAAATGTATATTGCATGAGCAGAATGACGCAATGTTGCATTATTATTATTACAAATAATTATCAAGATTACTACTCCGAAACTGTCAGATAATAAACAAACTGGTTATTTTATCCATCCACTTGCGCACGCTGAACTCTACAACAGGCAAAAACGGTTGATTCGTTTACCTGCCTTGCTATCCATTTGGATGAGTTTTTTAAAGATTATATTATAACAGTAATTACTGTCAGCGTTTGTTTTTATTTTTATTTATGAAATGAAAAGTCATCACTCCAAAAAGTTAAACTGCTGTAGGCTTTATGTGACAACAATATTATTATTCATAGATGACACCACCTCCTCACTCCATCGTCTCAGATCTACAGTGACGGGTAGAAATGCAACCTGATCGAGTTCTGTTCGTACGTGAGCTGTCCTAGGCAACAACAAAAAAAAACTGCAAAACGCAGGCAGATTATATCTCCTATATTCAGCAACAAGTGATTTTATTCATGTTGTATTTGTATTTTTGTCTGATCATTTGTCAGTATTCTTTATTCAACCAGCATGTTTCAAATAGCCTGTGTCCCAGATCAGTTTGTACTCTTGTGTCCCAGATCGGTTAGTGCTCTTGTGTCCCAACTCCTTATCACCCATTGAGTGACATGGAGATGGCATGAATAGCACAATCCGACTGGCACCCAGGCTATATTTGAGACGGTGAAAAGTCTGAAAGTCTGTTTTTAAAGGGTTTACGGAGTTGTGTTGTTGTGATCTATCTCCAAACGGACACAGATGGTATGCATTCTCCTCTGTATTATCACCCTCAGACCCTGAGGGTGATATTTGGGACTGCCAGTCAATCATGTGAATGTCTCCGGCAGCCATAATAGCTCTGGACTACAGTTCTCTCGATGCTGTGTGTGACTGACCGAAAGGCCAAGGACTCAAACTAACAGAACGGCTCTGTCCAGACTGACATATTTCGGTCCCAAATAGCACCCTATTCCCTAATATAGCGCACTACCTTTGACCAGAGCCATATATAGGATGCACTATATAGGGGATAGGGTGATATTTGGGACTGCCAGTCAATCATGTGAATGTCTCCGGCAGCCATAATAGCTCTGTTCCACCAGTATCATTGGTGTAAAGTTGCTCCTAGACACTGATCTCGGGTCAGTTTTTTTGCATTTTCCCCGACTATGGCTAAGGTTGGGAATGGGGGAGGAGAAGCTGATCCTAGATATGTATCTAGGGTTGATTTCACCCCAGAGCCAGTATCATCAGTATAATAATAATAATAATAATAATAATATGCCATTTAGCAGACGCTTTTATCCAAAGCGACTTACAGTCATGCGTGCATACATTTTTGTGTATGGGTGGTCCCGGGTATCGAACCCACTACGTTGGCGTTACAAGCGCCGTGCTCTACCAGCTGAGCTACAGAGGACCAGCATATATATATATATATATATATATATATATAGCTACAGCCATTCATGATGTGCCAGCACCAACAGACAGTGAAATAAAACATAGTGGCAAATGCATATTATTGTAATTTTCTTTTTGTCATTTTTCTTTTTGAATAAAATATTGATTATATTGTTCCGAAGCTCGTCTCTCCTTGTCTTCAGTGGATGTAATGATCGACTTACCTCTATAGAAAAACACGATGTCATTTCAGTACATTTAATTTACTATCCAATATGTAGGCTAATAACATAATGCGGAAATGGTCCTCAGACCCTGAGCATTGTCCAATATTTGCAACATGCTTGGATTGATTTTAAATGCTTATTAAGAGAATGTTTTATCAAATGTTATTTGTCACATGCTTCATGAACAACAGGTGTAGACTAACAGTGAAATGCTTACTGACGGACGAGGTAACAACTTGGCTATATACAAGGGGTACCAGTACCGAGGCCATGTGCAGGGGTACGAGGTAATTGAGGTATAAAGTGACTAGGCAACAGGATATCTAATGAACAGTAGCAGCAGCGTATGTGATGAGTCAAAAGGCTGAATGAAGATAGTCCAGATAGCTACAGCGCCTTCAGAAGGT